ATTTGTGACGTTTTCGTTCTTCGAATTTTGTAAAATGGAGTGTCATTTTTGGGTACCGGTAGAATTGTTATTTTTGTATTTCTTTAAACTTTTTCGCAGTTACACCACTTGTACGAAAAATTATCTTTCACAAATTAAAAAAAAATGCGCTTTTAGTGATTTTGGAACCCTTTTGAGAAAGAAAATATAGAAAAAAAAATTTATAGCGTTCCGCAAAATTACGTTGTAGCCATTTTGAGACTTTTTTGATAAATGAAATACACAAATGTGCCGTTTCTAGATACAAAAGAAAATTTTTAAAACACACAGATTTTGGGAGCTTATTGATAAATTAAATATAAAAATGTGCCATTTTTAGGGACCGGTATATCTTCGTACCAAAGAAAATTTTTAAAATACACAGAAATTTAAAATATTCTTGAACTTGTCGTGGTGCCATTTTTGGTCACCTGTGTATCTCCATAACAAAGAAAATTCTGGGACTTTCCATAAAACACACCAGTGCCATTTTTCGGCACTTTTAAATCTTATATTAAAATTATGTTGTGAATGAAAATTAATATTCATGAAAAATTTACGACTGTCGCAAAATAAGAAACTCTTTTTGGGTAACTGTCCAACGTCATTTTTTCGTTTTTTCCTTACCTTTTTCAAGTGACATTAGTTTTACAAAAAAAAATGTATTATTAACGATTTTGAAATATTTTTGGAAACACAGAAGCAAATTTTGATGTTTTTCCCGAGTTTCACTAAATTAAATAAAACCACATCAAAAGGTAAAGACAATTTTTAAAAACACACACGGTTTGAGAAAGTTATGTGTCTTATAATGGTGCCATTTTTGGGCACCTGTGTATTTTTAGAATAAGATTATGATGCAGAAAAAAATTACAGTTAATTAAAACTTGTGACAATTTAGTTCTTCAACTTTTATGAAATAGAGTGCCATTTTTGGGTACCCGTAGAAATGTTATTTTTGTCCTTTTTTTAACATTTCTTCGTAGTTACACCATTTTTATCAAAAATTACTTTTTACTAATAAAAATAATGTGGTTTCAGTGAGTTTGAGACCTTTTCGATAAATAAAATATTAAAAAAAGAAAAATCTGGGACTTTCCATAAAACACACCAGTGCCATTTTTGGGCACTTTTAAATATTATATTAAAATTACGTTGTAAATGAAAATTAATATTTATGAAAAATTTACGAATGTCGTAAAATAAGGAACTATTTTTGGGTAACTGTCCAACGTCATTTTTCGTTTTTTCCTTACCTTTTTCAAGTGACATTAGTTTTACAAAAAAAAATGTATTATTAACGATTTTGAAATATTTTTGGAAACACAGAAGCAAATTTTGATGTTTTTTCCGAGTTTCACTAAATTAAATAAAACCACATCAAAAGGTAAAGACAATTTTTAAAAACACACACGGTTTGAGAAAGTTATGTGTCTTATAATGGTGCCATTTTTGGGCACCTGTGTATTTTTAGAATAAGATTATGATGCAGAAAAAAATTACAGTTAATTAAAACTTGTGACAATTTAGTTCTTCAACTTTTATGAAATAGAGTGCCATTTTTGGGTACCCGTAGAAATGTTATTTTTGTCCTTTTTTTAACATTTCTTCGTAGTTACACCATTTTTATCAAAAATTACTTTTTACTAATAAAAATAATGTGGTTTCAGTGAGTTTGAGACCTTTTTGATTAATAAAATATTAAAAAAAGAAAAATCTGGGACCTTCCATAAAACACAGCAGTGCAATTTTTGGGCACTTTTAAATATTTTATTAAAACTACATTGTAAATGAAAATTACTATTCATGAAAAATTTACGACTGTCGTAAAATAAGATACTATTTTTGGGTAACTGCCCAACGTCATTTTTCGTTTTTTCCTTACCTTTTTCAAGTGACCCTAGTTTTACAAAAAAAAAAAATGTATTATTAACGATTTTGAAATATTTTTGGAAACACTGAAGCAAATTTTGATGTTTTTCCCGATTTTCACTAAATCACGGTTTGAGAATCTTACGTGACTTATAATGGTGCCATTTTTGGGCACCTGTGTATTTTTAGAATAAGATTATGATGCAGAAAAAATTACAGTTAATTAAAACTTGCGACGATTTAGTCCTTCGACTTTTATGAAATAGAGTGCCATTTTTGGGTACCTGTAGAAATGTTATTTTTGTCCTTCTTTTAACATTTCTTCGTAGTTACACCATTTTTATCAAAAATTAGTTTTTACTAATAAAAATAATGTGGTTTCAGTGAGTTTGAGACCTTTTTGATTAATAAAATATTAAAAAAAGAAAAATCTGGGACTTTCCATAAAACACAGCAGTGCCATTTTTGGGCACTTTTAAATCTTATATTAAAATTACGTTGTAAATGAAAATTAATATTCATGAAAAATTTACGAGTGTCGTAAAATAAGAAACTATTTTTGGGTAACTGTCCAACGTCATTTTTCGTTTTTTCCTTACCTTTTTCAAGTGACCCTAGTTTTACAAAAAAAAAAAATGTATTATTAACGATTTTGAAATATTTTTGGAAACACTGAAGCAAATTTTGATGTTTTTCCCGATTTTCACTAAATCACGGTTTGAGAATCTTACGTGACTTATAATGGTGCCATTTTTGGGCACCTGTGTATTTTTAGAATAAGATTATGATGCAGAAAAAATTACAGTTAATTAAAACTTGCGACGATTTAGTCCTTCGACTTTTATGAAATAGAGTGCCATTTTTGGGTACCTGTAGAAATGTTATTTTTGTCCTTCTTTTAACATTTCTTCGTAGTTACACCATTTTTATCAAAAATTAGTTTTTACTAATAAAAATAATGTGGTTTCAGTGAGTTTGAGACCTTTTTGATTAATAAAATATTAAAAAAAGAAAAATCTGGGACTTTCCATAAAACACAGCAGTGCCATTTTTGGGCACTTTTAAATCTTATATTAAAATTACGTTGTAAATGAAAATTAATATTCATGAAAAATTTACGAGTGTCGTAAAATAAGAAACTATTTTTGGGTAACTGTCCAACGTCATTTTTCGTTTTTTCCTTACCTTTTTCAAGTGACACTAGTTTTACAACAAAAATGTGAAATTAAATAAAATCACATCAAAAGGTAAAGACAATTTTTAAAAACACACACGGTTTGAGAATGTTATGTGACTTATAATGGTGCCATTTTTGGGCACCTGTGTATTTTTAGAATAAGATTATGATGCAGAAAAAATTACAGTTAATTAAAATTTGTGACGATTTAGTCCTTCGACTTTTATGAAATAGAATGCCATTTTTGGGTACCTGTAGAAATGTTATTTTTGTCCTTTTTTTACATTTCTTTGTAGTTACACCATTTTTATAAAAAAATTATCTTTCACAAATACAAAAAAATATGGATTTAGCGATTTTGGGACCTTTTTGATAAATCTAAAAAAGAAATCGGTGCCATTTTTAGACACCTTGTTAGTTTTATATAAAAATTACATTTTAGAAGAAAATTAATATTCATGAAACAAACACAATAAATCAGATCGATCACCATTAAAACTACATACAGGTTAAGGTCACCCAGCATTGTCATTTTGGCCATCTGACCATTTTTCCGAATAAATTCCAACAAATCTAGAACGTACCATTATTTCCAATTGTGGAAAGTTTCGCACCGACTTTTTACGTAATTCCATGTTATTTTCAGGCGATTTCACACAATTTTCCGTCAAGTTCTAGAAACTGTTTACTCCGAGTAATTACCTTGCAAGCACATTTCTTGTTATTGACGCTTTGTTTATTTAAATTTAAATAAATATGCATTTGCATCCGCAGTTTGGACCCATTTGTCGCAAATTATAAACAAATATGATTAATTACAACTTAAGTGCACTGATTGCTTTCTTATCAAACAGTCAAGGTTACGACAAAACAGTATAGTTTCCGGGTGGTTCCGCGGTCGTCAGACCCAATATTCTGAAACGCATATAGTTACTTCAGTTAAAAAAAACAGATCATTGGCATTTAATTGACTGAATGGAACCTTGATACATTTTTATTTTTATCAATTACAACGATTTCAACTCATTTATTTTTAACTTCGTCCTTGCCAATCCAGGACATAAATTTTAAAATCTTTTTGAAGCGAATTTCTCCGAAATCAGTATTTCCGGATAATTTGACACTTTGTCGATTTTTTTTTTTTTATTAAAAAAAGAAAAACGGAATTTATTAAGTCGTACGATTTGTAAAGATCATCGTGATTCACTTTCCATTTTGTAACCTTCGACACTGCATTTTTTAACATGATTCACGTTTTATGGTCAGATGTTCAACAAATCTCCACACAAAAGACTGAACAAACACTACATTAAACATTAATTCGGTGAAGTCCTTAAACATCAATTAAACCGTCTGGATTTAAATTTCGGAGATAAAACATAGTTCAGGGTTTCCACTTTAATTAATAAGTTACAACTAAAGCAATTTGCATTTCCGGAAATCCACTTCCGATTTGTCGCAACTTTCTAGACCAAGTCGCGTTTCTTCAGACAGAAATTCCACACTCAACACTAATAATAAATTACTAGTGTAATAATCGTTGCATCGACGTAACTTCCACGTAATCTCGTTACCAAAACCGTATTAAAATTCCGAATTTTTCTTTCGACACAAAGAAATTAACATTTTTTTAATTGTGACCCACTTATCCATCGCGCGTTTCTTTTAAATCGCCGATAATAATCACCCAGAAAATCGAAAAAGTGGCCACACTTGACCCATTATCCGAAGAAAAATATCGAAGGCAGTGCCCCAGATACCCGTTCCTTATAGGGGCAAAGTCTCGCTGATCGATCCATACTCATTGCGTGTCATTGTCGACCAGAACCATCGCGAAAATCGCTAGGTCGTTGCGAATCCACCGCAAACAAGCCGGGCCCAGCCCGGGCCCCGGTACCACGCCCGAACCCGCTCCAGCTCATTTTTCTTCCAGAAATGCGTCCTGTCCGAGGGCGGCGAGATCTTCGAGCTCTGGAAGAGCCCCCCCGTGGACCTCTACCTGCGGGTGTACCTGTGGAACGTGACCAACAAGGAGGAGTTCCTCAGCGGCCGCGACGACAAGCTGCGGGTGCAGGACGTGGGCCCCTACGTCTACAAGTGAGTCTCGGATGTTGCGCAAGCGCCGACCGGCGGCGGCGAAGGTCGCGGGTGAAATTTTCTCGAATTTCGGACGCAAGGTCGTCGACGAAAGCGATCTCGGGGATTGCGTCACGCGCCGGCCGCTTCCTGGTCGCGCTTCCTGGTCGGCCCGCAAGGCACCAGTTGGGGTCCGCTGCTTAGTGTATAGGGTCGGGAAGAACGGGAATTTTGTGACAAAGACGCTGCACGATCAAAAAAGCCTGCGGGTTTCAGGTAATTTTCTCCGCAATGTTTTTTTGATGACGTCATCGAGTTTTCTGAAACGGATGAATGAGTAAATTTTGGTTAGCGATTACGATAGGCTGAAAATATTTGCGGAGTTAAGTTGTAGAATGTTGCGTGTCGCTTATGAATTAGTCACTAAATTAATTAATTCGTTCGTTGACTTTTTCAACGAAAAAAAGAAAATAGATCAGAAAAAAGCGACCAAAAAAATTTGACAACCAAGAAGTCCACAAACAACTCAACAAAAAAGCGAGGAAAAAAGGTGAGAAAAATGGCGAGAAAAAAAAACAATACGACAAAAAAATTAGAATCTTTATGATCTTTAGGGTCTTTAGAGTCCTCAGCGGGTTCTTAGAACCTCTAGAGCCTTTAGGATCTTTGTAAATTTGAGTATTTTAGAACTTCTATAATCTCCAGGACCTTCAGGCACTCTAGTTCTAGAATCTTTAGTATCTTTAAGAATTTAAGATTTCTCTGGATCTTTAATATATTTAGCAACCAAAAACATTATAAACAACAAAAAAGCCAACAAAAAAAGCTGAAACAAACGGCAATAAAAAAGAATTTTTAAGTCTTTAGAGCCTTTGGAAATTTGGACATTCTAGAATCCTATAAGTTCTAAATTTTAAGATTTTTTTGGATCTTTCTTGTATTTAGAATTTTAGAATCTTTAATTTGGGACGATCTTAAGGTCTTTAGAATATCTCGAGTCATTTGAATCTTTGGAATTTTTGAAGGTGTTGAAACATTTTGAATCTTTGGAATTCTTGTAATCCTTGGAATTTTTGTAATCCTTTGACTTCATGGAATTTCTAGAATTTTAGATTTTTTAAATTCCCAGCATCTCTAGAATTTTTCTCTAGATGATTTCTAGATGTTTTGTAAAATTTTATGGATCTTTAAAAATTTTAACATCTTTACAAAAGTCTTTGAGAATCCCTCTAGAACCTCTAGAAATTTTGGAATATTTCAACTCTTTAGAATCGTGACAGCCTTTACAGTCTTTACAATTTTTACAATCCTCGGAGCGCTCATAGATCGTAGGATTTTTCGAGTTTTTCAATCTTGGAAAATTTTGAACATTTTAGAATCATAAGGTGTTCTAGAATCTTTAAGATCTTTAGGGTGTCTAGAATTTCTGGAATCTCCAGTACCTTCAGAATATTTAAGATTTTTTTTAATCTTTCTTATATGTAGAATCTCAGAATCTTTTCTTCATTTAGAATCTTTAGTATCTTTATAATTAGAATCTCCCTAATCTTGCTAATTTATAGGAATTTTAACGTCTTTAGAATACCTAGAGTAACTAGAGTCTTTGATTTTACGGATCTTTAGCAATATTTACATCTTTACAATTTTAAAAATCTCTGGAATCTAGAAACTGTAGAATCTGGAATATTTGAAATCTTTAAACTTTTGATTTCGTAGAAGCCTTAGAGCCCCTAGAATTTTCACAGCATTTCAAATCAGATTTTACATTCCTCAGAGTCCTTAGGATTGGTTGAGTCTTTTGAATCTTCAAAAATTTTGGACATTTAAAATCTAGAATCACCAAGAGTTCTAGAATATTTAGAATTTCTACAATTTTCAAGATCTCTAGGTTGTCTAGAATTTCTGGGATCTCTAGTACCTTCAGATTTTCTTCAGATTTTTTAGATTTTTTTTCTTTCTCATTTAGAATCTTACCATTTTTTGCTGATTTATAATCTTTATTATCCTTAAAATTGGAATATTCCTAATCATTCTAATTTATAGGAATTTTAAGGTCTTTAGAATATCTAGAATCATTAGAATCTTTTAAATTTTTTAAGTCTTTGAATGTTTCGAACATTTCGAATCTTTGTGATCTTTAGAATCCATAGAGTGTTTGAGTCTTTAGAACTTTTAAGTTCCCAATATTTCTAGGTTCTTCAGTATCTCTAGAACTTCTGCTAAAAGATCTCTAAAATTTTTACGACTTTTCGAGTATTTGGGACTTTTATTATTTTCACAGTTTTAATAATCCCTGGAATATATGGAATCTTTCTAGAAGATTAAGAAATTTTACAATTTTTATAGTTTTTCCAGTACTCAGAGTCCTCAGAGTGCTCAAAGTCCTTTTTTCGAGACATTTTAGAATCAGCAGGAGTTCTAGAATCTTCGAAATTTCCAAAATCTTCGGATCTTTAGAATGTCTAGAATTTCTGACATCTCCAGTATCTTCAGGATCTTTAAGTTTCCTTTGAATCTTTCTTATATTTAATTTTTAAATTTCTAGTATCTCTGGGTTCTTCAGCATCCCTAGAATTTGTAGTGATTTTATTTTTTTATTTATTCTTTAGAATTTTTTGAGCCTTCTAAGTCTTTAGAGTCTTCGGAGTCATCAGACTCTTCAAAGTGCTCAGGATCCTCAAGGATTTTAAAGTCTTTAATCTTCAGAACCTTTAGAATCTTTGGAAATTTGAAGTTCTACAATGTTTTCTATGAGATCTTTGTACCTGCAGGATCTTTTAAGATTTTAAAAATTGTTTGGATCATTTAGAATCTTTAGTATCTTCACAATTTGGAATTTCCCTAATCTTTCTATTTATAAGATATATGAGATCTTTGAAGACTTTTAAATCTTTTAAATTCCCAACATCACTTGATTGAATTTTTAAGATGTTTTGGATCTTTGGAAATTTTGAACATCTTTTTAAAGTCTCTGGAAACTCTGGAATTTTTTAAATTCCTGAAATCTTCAAAATTTCCAGAATCTTCAGATGTCTAGAATTTCTGGAATCTTTAATATCTTCAGGATCTTTAATCTCTTTCATATATTTAGAATCTTTTATAATTTAGAGGGTATGTAAGGTCTTTAGAATATCTCCAATTTTTAGAATCTTTGGAATCTTTCAAACTCTTCGAATCCCATAGAATTTCTAGAATTGTTAGAACTTTTGAATTCCCAGTATCTCTAGATTCTTTAGCATCTCTAGAATTTGTAGTGATTTTATCGTCTTTACAATTTTAATAATCACTGGAGTTTACGGAATTCCGCTAGAATCCTTAGAATCTTTGGAAAATTTGAATCCTTTGAGTCTTTAGAATCTTTAGAATTTTTAAAGTCTTCAGAGTATTTGGAGTCTTAGGAGTCTTTAGAGTCATCAGACTCCTCAAAGTGCTCAGGGTCCTCAGAGTCTTTAAAATCTTTAATCTTCAGAACCTTTAGAATCTTTGTAAGCTTGAAGTTCTAGAATGTTTTCTCGTTCTAGAATCTTCAGGACCTGAAAGCTCTGTATAAGATGCGGCATCTTTATACTTTCAAGATCTTCTAAGATAAAAAAAAATTGGATCATTTAGAATTTTTAGTATCTTCACAATTTGGAATCTCCCTAATCTTTCTATTTATAAGATATATGGGATCTTTGAAGACTTTTAAATCTTTTAAATTCCCAACATCACTTGATTCTCTAGAATTTTTAAGATGTTTTGAATTTTTGGAAATTTTGAACATCTTTTTAAAGTCTCTGAAAACTTTGGAATTTTTGAAATTTCTGAAATCATTAAAATTTCCAGAATCTTCAGATGTCTAGAATTTCTGGGATCTTTAATATCTTCAGGATCTTTAAGTTTCTTTGGAATCTTCCATATATTTAGAATCTTTTCTAATTTAGAGGGTCTGTAAAGTCTTTAGAATATCTGCAATTTTTAGAATCTTTGGAATGTTTAAAGGCTTTGAAACCTTGGAAATCTTACAAAATCTTCAAATCCCATAGAATTTCTAGAATGTTTAGAACTTTTGAATGCCCAGTATCTCTATATTCTTTTAATAATCACTGGAATCTATGGAATTCCGCTAGAATCCTTACAATATTTGGAACATTTGAATCCTTTGAGTCTTTAGAATCTTTAGAATTTTTAGGGCCTTTAGAGTCTTTGGGATCTTAGGAGTCTTTAGAGCCATTAAATTCCTCAAAGTGCTCAGGGTTCTTAGGGTTTTAAAAGTCTTTACGCTTTAGAACCTTTAGAATCTTTGGAAATTTGAAATTCTAGAATGTTTTCTATTTCTAGAATCTCCAAGATCTGAAAGCTCTGTGGGATGTGGGATCTTTGTACCTTCAAGATCTTTTAACTCTAAAATTTTTAGTAACTAGAGGATCTCTAAGATTTTTTAAGACGTTTCGGATCTTTCGAAATTTTGAACATCTTTTTAAAATCGCTGGAAACTCTGGATTTTTTTAAATTCCTGAAATTTTTGTTGGTCTTAGTTTTTCGCATCTGACTTTGGAATCTCTTCAGAACCTGTAGAATCTTCTTTAGAACTTTTAAGATGTTTTGGATCTTTAGAAATTTTAAAATCTCTGGAATTCCTGACATCTTTAAAATTTCCAGAATCTTCAGATGTCTAGAATTTCAGGAATCTTTAATATCTTCAGGATCTTCAAGTTTCTTTGGAATCTTTCATATATTTAGAATCTTTTCTAATTTAGAGGGTTTGTAAAGTCTTTAGACTATCTGCAATTTTTAGAATCTTTGTAATGTTTGAAGGCTTTGAAACCTTTGGAATCTTTCAAACTCTTTAAATCCCATATTATTTCTAGAATTTTTAGAACTTTTAAAGGCCCAGTATCTCTAGATTCTTTTAATAATCACTGGAGTCTATGGAATTCCGCTAGAATCCTTACAATCTTTGGAACATTTCAGTTCTTTAAGTCTTTAGAATCTTTAGAGTTTTTTGGGTCTTTTGAGTCTTTGGGGTCTTAGGAGTCTTTAGAGCCATTAGACTCCTCATAGTACTCAGGGTCCTTAGGGTTTTAAAGGTCTTTACGCTTTAGAACCTTTAGAATTTTTGGAAATTTGAAGTTCTAGAATGTTTTCTATTTCTAGAATCTCCAAGATCTGAAAGCTCTATGGGATGTGGAATCTTTGTACCTTCAAGATCTCTTAAGATTTTAAAAAATTTTTGAATCATTTAGATTTTTTAGTATCTTTACAATTTGGAATCTCCCTAATCTTTCTGTCTATAAGATATGTACGATCTTTGAAGACTTTTAACTCTAAAATTTTTAGTACCTACAGGATCTCTAGAATTTTTTAAGACGTTTTAGATCTTTGGAAATTTTGAATATCTTTTCAAAAATCTCTGGAAACTCTGGAATTTTTAAATTCCTGAAATTCCTATTGGTCTTAGTTTTTCACATCTGACTGTGGAATATTTTCAGAACCTGTAGAATCTTTGGAATGTTTAAAAATTTTGGAATTTTTGAATACTGTAAAATTTTTAGAGTCTTTAAAGTACTCAAGGTTCTTAGTATTTTTCGAGTTTTTCGAATGATTGGGAATTTTGGACATTTTAGAATCACCAGAAGTTCTAGAATCTTTAAAATTTCCAGAATCTTCAGATGTCTAGAATTTCTAGGATCTTTAATATCTTCAGGATCACTAAGTTTCTTTTGAATCCTGCTTATATTTAGAATCTTTTCGAAATTAGAGCTTGTATAAGGTCTTTAGAATATCTGCAATTTTTAGAATTTTTGGAAACTTTCGAACTCTTCGAATCACCCATAGAATTTTTAGAATTTTTAGAACTTATAAATTCCCAGTATCTCTAGATTCTTCAGCATCTCTAGAATTTGTAGTTATTTTATCATCTGTATAATTTTAATAATCACTGGATCTGTAGAATTCCGCTAGAATCCTAGAATCTTTGGAACATTTGAATCTTTTGAGTTTTTTTAATCTTTAGAATTTTTAAAGTCTTCAGAGTATTTAGTCTTAGGAGTCTACTCCCCAAAGTGCTCAGCATCCTCAGGATTTTTAAAATCTTTAATCTTCAGAACCTTTAGAATCTTTGAAAATTTGAAGTTCTAGAATGTTTTCTATTTCTAGAATCTCCAGGATCTGAAAGCTCTGTATAAAATGTGGAATCTTCGTACCTTCAAGATCTTTTCAGATTAAAAAAAAATTTAGATCACTTAGAATCTTTAGTATCTTCACAATTTCGAATATTCCTAATCTTTCTATCTATCTATAAGATATGTAGGATCTTTGAAGACTTTTAAATCATTAAAATTCCCAATTTCACTAGGTTCTTCAGCATCTCTAGAATTTTTGGTACCTAGAGAATCTCTAGAATTTTTAAGTTGTTTAAGATCTTCAGAAATTTTGAACATCTTTTTCAAAATCTCTGGAAACTCTGGAATTTTTAAATTCCTGACATTCTTTTTGACATCTGACTGTGGAATCTCTCTAGACCCTGTAGAATCTTTGAAATATTTGAAACTTTTAGAACATTTAGAAATTTTGGAATTTTTGATTACTTTAGAATCTTTAGTGTCTTTAGAGTACTCAGAGTCCTGGAAATTCTCATGGTCCTTAGTATTTTTCAAGTTTTTCGAATGTTTAAAAATTTTGGACATTTCAGAGTCACCAGGAGTTCTAGAATCTTTAAAATTTCCAGAATCTTCAGATGTCTAGAATTTCTAGGATCTTTAATATCTTCAGGATCACTAAGTTTCTTTTGAATCCTTCTTATATTTACAATCTTTTCTAATTTAGAGGGTCTATAAGGTCTTTAGAATATCTGCAATTTTTAGAATTTTTGGAAACTTTTGAACTGTTCGAATCACCCATAGAATTTCTAGAATTTTTAGAACTTTCAAAGTCCCAGTACCTCTAGATTCTTCAGCATCTCGAGAATTTGTAGTTATTTTATCATCTTTACAATTTTAATAATCACTGGAATCTGTGTAATTCCGCTAGAATCCTTAGAATCTTTGGAACATTTGAATCTTTTGAGTTTTTTTAATCTTTAGAATTTTTAAAGTCTTCAGAGTATTTAGTCTTAGGAGTCTACTCCCCAAAGTGCTCAGCATCCTCAGGATTTTTAAAATCTTTAATCTTCAGAACCTTTAGAATCTTTGAAAATTTGAAGTTCTAGAATGTTTTCTATTTCTAGAATCTCCAGGTCTGAAAGCTCTGTATAAAATGTGGAATCTTCGTACCTTCAAGATCTTTTCAGATTAAAAAAAAATTTAGATCATTTAGAATCTTTAGTATCTTCACAATTTCGAATATTCCTAATCTTTCTGTCTATCTATAAGATATGTAGGATCTTTGAAGACTTTTAAATCATTAAAATTCCCAATTTCACTAGGTTCTTCAGCATCTCTAGAATTTTTGGTACCTAGAGAATCTCTAGAATTTTTAAGTTGTTTTAGATCTTCAGAGATTTTGAACATCTTTTTCAAAATCTCTGGAAACTCTGGAATTTTTAAATTCCTGACATTCTTTTTGACATCTGACTGTGGAATCTCTCTAGACCCTGTAAAATCTTTGAAATATTTGAAACTTTTAGAACATTTAGAAATTTTGGAATTTTTGATTACTTTAGAATCTTTAGTGTCTTTAGAGTACTCAGAGTCCTGGAAATTCTCATGATCCTTAGTATTTTTCAAGTTTTTCGAATGTTTAAAAATTTTGGACATTTCAGAGACACCGGGAGTTCTAGAATCTTAAAAATTTCCAGAATCTCCAGATGTCTAGAATTTCTAGGATCTTTAATATCTTCAGGATCACTAAGTTTCTTTTGAATCCTTCTTATATTTACAATCTTTTCTAATTTAGAGGGTCTATAGGGTATTTAGAATATCTGCAATTTTTAGAATTTTTGGAAACTTTCGAACTCTTCGAATCACCCATAGAATTTCTAGAATTTTTAGAACTTTTAATTCCCAGTATCTCTAGATTCTTTAGCATTTCTAGAATTTGTAGTTATTTTATCATCTGTACATTTTAATAATCACTGGAATCTGTGGAATTCCGATAGAATCCTTAGAACCTTTAGAATCTTTGGAATCTCCTGAAATTCCTGTAGTCCCTCGTTTTTGGCATCCTTGACCTCCTTGAAACCTTTAAAACTTAAATAGCCCGAATTTTCAAAATTTCCAAAATTATTAGTCTGCAGATATGAATGTTCAAAACATTTTCCAAAATGTTCAAAATCTCTAGGTCTTCCAGATTTTTCACACTTCCTAAATTTTTCCACATTTTCAAACATAACGTGACAAAAAACCAAAAGCCGCAAAAGAGAGCAAAAAAAGACGAAAAAAGTCCACGAAGGCGCAATAAACGTAAAACAAAAGGTGATAAAAACGGTGACAAAAAGATAAAAAAGCGACAAGAAAAATATGACGTCATCAAGTTTGTGGAGATGAACAATAAAAACTTCCTGGCATTTTAATTACAATTTTAACATTAAACTGTAACTGTTGTAAACGCAATTTTGTTGGAGTAAAAATCAAGCCGGACTCATAAACCACAAGTACAGCAGCACGTTATTTACAAAACTCGAACCCAAAAATCCAGAAATCAAGTTCCATTTTTCCAGGGAGCTCTTTGTTCACTCCAACGTCTCCTTCAACGACAACGGCACCATCAACGCCGTCCCCCGCCACCCCCTCGTCTGGGTACCGGAACTCAGCGAGGGCCGCCGCGAGGACGACCTGCTCATCCTGCCCAACATAGCATTACTGGTGAGTAATTTATGCTTTTCCTCGGAAAACGTCAAGGTTACTCCGCGTAAACAACGGCCGCGAAAAGTCATCCCATCCGACCACAAATTACACCCAGTACCATGGAAAAGGTTGCGTTATCCCAGCTTTCACTCTTCGCAATGTCTTCGCCGAATTTGACATTTGGCAGATCGCGTGCTCGGTCCCTGACCTTCCACAAATCCGTTTTTCGCACGCACAGCATTGGCAATGAAATTGGGTAAGGTTAGTTCCGGCGGAAGCGCGTCCATCGGAACCGGTAATAGTAACGGGTCGTAGGCGGCGCAACGCGCCTGCGCAGACGCCGCTGATTGGCCACGTGGGGGTCAAGGAGAGCGGGTTGGGGGGAGGTACGAGATTCATAGTGTTTTTAAAGAATTAATTATCCACGTTGGTGATTATTATTAATCAAATAGCAAAATAATTGAGAGATGTTGTCATTTTATAGAATTACGGGTTCTGTGTCCGTGTTATGACTTGGAAGTCCTTGATGAGTTAAAACGCACAGAACGTTCGAGTAATTACCGTTTTCCTGTACAATTTCGCGCAAAATTAATTTAAATTAAAATTAATTAAAATTATAAATACGGCTGGAATTGATAATCTGGCTATTAAACGATACGAAAAATAAATGAAACGCACAAATACCAGTAATGTTAATTTATAATATTACTAGAAACACGAGTTGTAATTTCGCTGATTTTCAATTAACCGCAGTGGAAAAAACCACGAGTAACTGGTTTGGTAGGACTGTTTACGATGAAAGAGAAGAAAGAAATTATGAAATACGCATTAGTAATAATAAAATAAAAACTAAATTTAAATAACAGCAAAAAATACTGTCTAATTTTTGACAGTGTGGGTTTTTAACTCGATTGATCACACATTTATATTGCATTATTCAGCACCGAGTAGTACGAAATTTATGTAATAAGAACAACGAAATTTGCCACATTTAAGTTACAACACTATTCTAGTAAATTCCACAAAACGTTTTTTGCTTGTGAAATTAAAACTTAAAAAATCGGTTGACTTATCAAAATTGAAAATGCCCCTCTGCTGCACTTAACCATGACTTAGCGTTACTAGGTTATAGGAAAACGTACTATCAGACAATTTAAGACAGTGAACTAAAATAAACAGGAATTGTCTCACGACGCAGTTTTTGTTCTAACCGGGACACCCACAATTCAAATCAAGTAAGTTCCGAGATGTAAAGTCATCGACCTTCGTTAGATAACGATATAACAAAGACGCCGCTTCATCTTGCCCTTTTTTGGCAGCGATTACGTAACCACAGTCTGAATAAAATAAACAACAATAGGCGGCGAGTAAAAATTAAATGACACATTTTTCCCTGATAACATAGCTTGTATGTCGAGCGAGATAATTTGTAATCGAGTCAATCTTGTGAGTTTTTTGTTGCAACATAATTGTGAAAATTTTTCAAATGCTTTGTGTTTTCTCTGAATCACACGGGACGCTTATGTAATGATTTTAGAGACAAGAAGCTTTCACTTTCTTCGATCAGATAACATCACTTTTCTCGGGTTTCATGGCTCATTTATTATTAATGGTACGGAGTTTAAGTAGAATACCTTCCACTTTGTCGTTTAATATTCAAGTAGCGACGCGTTTTTAGGTAATATTAGGCGGTGAATTGCACGTTATTATAATATTGTAATTGCGGTAATTGGAAATGATTTGCTTAAGTTCCGCTCTAAAACATGTGCCGTTTACCTTCACTAATGTTTTTAGTTACATTAAAAAAATATGTTTTCTGTTTCCATACTTTAACTGATAAATAATATATTTCTTACCTGTTTTTTTTTAAGACGTGAGAGAATTTCGAGGACCTCTAGTCTCTTTCTTTTTGGAAAAAATTAAAAGAATGTCGGCATTTCTACTGATATTTTTTTAATAATTCAAAAGGATCGCGGGGATCTTCAATGTATTTTTTTTATTCCGAAAAAATCTCGTGAGCTAAAGTCTCTTTCTTTTTGCAAAAATTTAAAAGAATCTCGAAGTCTCCTAGTGTCTTTTTTGGAAGAATTTGAAAAAATCTTGGGGCCCTTGTGTTTTTTTTTAAAAATGCGAAAAAATCTCGATGAGCTGTCTCTTTCTTTTAATGATAAAAAATCTCGAAGACACCTAGTGTTTTTTTTTTTTGAAGAGTTTAAAAGAATCTGGGGGGGTACCGAGTCTCTTTTTTAAAAATATTAACAAAATCTCGTGGAACAATAGTCTCTTTCTTTTTGGCTAAAATTAAAACAATGTCGGTATTTCTACTGATATTTTTTTAAGAATTCAAAAGAATCGCGGGGATCTTCAATGTATTTTTTTTTATTCAAAAAAATCCCGTGAGCTAAAGTCTCTTTCTTTTTGCAAAAATTTAAAAGAATCTCGGGGTCTCCTAGTGTCTTTTTTGGAAGAATTTGAAAAAATCTTGGGAGCCCTTGTGTTTTTTTTTTAAGAATGCGAAAAAATCTCGACGTGCTGTCTCTTTCTTTTAATGCTAAAAAATCTCGGAGACACCTAGTGTTTTTTTTTTTGAAGAATTTAAAAGAATCTGGGGGGTACCGAGTCTCTTTTTTAAAAATATTAACAAAATCTCGTGGAACAATAGTCTCTTTCTTTTTGGAAAAAATTATAAGAATGTCGGTATTTCTACTGATATTTTTTTAAGAATTCAAAAGAATCGCGGGGATCTTCAATGTATTTTTTTTTTATTCAAAAAAATCTCGGGAGCCAAAGTCTCTTTCTTTTTGCAAAAATTTAAAAGAATCTCGAAGTCTCCTAGTGTCTTTTTTGGAAGAATTTGAAAAAATCTTGGGAGCCCTTGTGTTTTTTTTTTTTTAAGAATGCGAAAAAATCTCGACGTGCTGTCTCTTTCTTTTAATGCTAAAAAATCTCGGAGACACCTAGTGTTTTTTTTGAAGAATTTAAAAGAATCTGGGGGGTACCGAGTCTCTTTTTTAAAAATATTAACAAAATCTCGTGGAACAATAGTCTCTTTCTTTTTGGAAAAAATTATAAGAATGTCGGTATTTCTACTGATATTTTTTTAAGTATTCAAAAGAATCGCGGGGATCCTTAATGTATTTTTTTTTAATTCGAAAAAATCCCAGGGACCTCTAGTCTCTTTCTTTTTGGAAAAATTTAAAAGAATCTCGGGAGCCAATAGTGTACTTTTTTTTGAAGAATTCAAAAGAATATCTGGGGCTCCGAGTGTTTATTTTTTAAAATAGGAAAAAATCCCGGGGACATCTAGTCTCTTTCTTTTTGAAAAATTTTAAAAGAATCTCGGGCTTTCTACTGGTTTCATTTTGGAAAAATCTGAAAGAATCTAAGTGGTCTCTAGTCTCTTTCTTTTTGAAAAAATTTAAAAGAATCTCGGGAGCCAATAGTATCTTTTTTTGAAGATTTCAAAAGAATATCTGGGGCTCCGAGTGTCTATTTTTTAAAATGAGAAAAAATCCCGGGGACCTCTAGTCTCTTTCTTCTTGCAAAAATTTAAAAGAATCTCGGGGTCCCTAGTGTCTTTTTTGGAATAATTTGAAAGAATCTTGGGAGCCCTTGTGGTTTTTTTTTTAAGAATGCGAAAAGATCTCGATGAGCTGTCTCTTTCTTTTAGTGCTAAAAATCTCGGAGACACCTAGTGTTTTTTTTTTTTTTTTGAAGAGTTTAAAAGAATCTGGGGGCACCGAGTCTCTTTTTTAAAAATATGAACAAAATCTCGTGGAACAATAATCTCTTTCTTTTTTGAAAAAAATAAAGAATCTTGGTATTTCTACTGATATTTTTTTAAGAATTCAAAAGAATCGCGGGGATCCTTAATGTATTTTTTTTTAATTCGAAAAAATCCCAGGGACCTCTAGTCTCTTTCTTTTTGGAAAAATTTAAAAGAATCTCGGGAGCCAATAGTGTACTTTTTTTGAAGAATTCAAAAGAATATCTCGGGCTCCGAGTGTTTATTTTTTAAAATAGGAAAAAATCCCGGGGACATCTAGTCTCTTTCTTTTTGAAAAATTTTAAAAGAATCTCGGGCTTTCTACTGGTTTCATTTTGGAAAAATCTGAAAGAATCTAAGTGATCTCTAGTCTCTTTCTTTTTGAAAAATTTTAAAAGAATCTCGGGCTTTCTACTGGTTTCATTTTGGAAAAATCTGAAAGAATCTAAGTGGTCTCTAGCCTCTTTCTTTTTGAAAAAATTTAAAAGAATCTCGGGAGCCAATAGTATCTTTTTTTGAAGAATTCAAAAGAATATCTGGGACTCCGAGTGTCTATTTTTAAAAATGGGAAAGAATCCCGGGGACCTCTAGTCTCTTTCTTTTTGCAAAAATTTGAAAGAATCTCGGGGACCCCTAGTGTCTTTTTTGGAAGAATTAAAAAGAATCTCTGGGGTTCCGACTGTCTATTTTTAAAAATATGAAAGAATCTCAGGAACCTCCAGTCTCTTGCTTTTTGGAAAAATTTAAAAGAATCTCGGGAGCCAATAGTGTCTTTTTTTGAAGAATTCTAAAGAATATCTGAGGTTCCGAGTATCTATTTTTAAAAATGGGAAAGAACCCCGGGGACCTCTAGTCTCTTTCTTTTTGAAAAATTTTAAAAGAATCTCGGGCTTTCTACTGGTTTCATTTTGGAAAAATCTGAAAGAATCTAAGTGGTCTCTAGTCTCTTTCTTTTTGAAAAAATTTAAAAGAATCTCGGGAGCCAATAGTATCTTTTTTGAAGAATTCAAAAGAATATCTGGGGCTCCGAGTGTCTATTTTTAAAAATGGGAAAGAATCCCGGGGACCTCTAGTCTCTTTCTTCTTGCAAAAATTTGAAAGAATCTCGGGGACCCCTAGTGTCTTTTTTGGAAGAAATAAAAAGAATCTCTGGGGTTCCGACTGTCTATTTTTAAAAATATGAAAGACTCTCAGGAACCTCCAGTCTCTTTCTTTTTGGAAAAACTGAAAAGAATCTGAGGAGCCAATAGTATCTTTTTTTGAAGAATTCGAAAGAATATCTGCGGTTCCGAGTATCTATTTTTAAAAATGGGAAAGAACCCCGGGGATCTCTAGTCTCTTTCTTTATGAAAAGTTTTAAAAGAATCTCGGACTTTCTACTAGTTTCATTTTGGAAGAATTTAAATCTTTCTGGAGCTTTTATTGTCTATTTTTAAAAATGTGAAAGAATCCCAGGGACCTCTAGTCTCTTTCTTTTTGGAAAAATTTAAAAGAATCTCGGGAGCCAATAGTGTACTTTTTTTTGAAAAATTCAAAAGAATATCTGGGGCTCCGAGTGCTTATTTTTTAAAATAGGAAAAAATCCCGGGGACATCTAGTTTCTTTCTTTTTGAAAAATGTTAAAAGAATCTCGGGCTTTCTACTGGTTTCATTTTGGAAAAATCTGAAAGAATCTAAGTGGTCTCTACTCTCTTTCTTTTTGAAAAAATTTAAAAGAATCTCGGGAGCCAATAGTATCTTTTTTGAAGAATTCAAAAGAATATCTGGGGCTCCGAGTATCTATTTTTAAAAATGGGAAAGAATCCCGGGGACCTCTCGTCTCTTTCTTCTCGCCAAAATTTAAAAGAATCTCAAGGGTCTCTACTATTTCTTTTTGGAAAAATTTGAAAGAATCTCAGGAGCCAATAGTGTCTTTTTTCTGAAGAATTCGAAGGAATATCTAAGGCTCCGAGTGTCTATTTTTAAAAATAAGAAAGAATCCCGGGGACCACTAGTCTCTTTCTTTTTGAAAAATTTTAAAAGAATCTCAGGGTTTCTACTATTTCTTTTTGGAAGAATTTAAAAGTCTCTGGAGCTTTTAGTGTCTTTTTTTAATGTGAAAGAATATCGGAGGGGAGCTAGTGTATTTTTTTATTCTGTGGTGTTTTTTTGGAAGAATTTTAAAAAATCTTAGGGGCCCTTGATGTCCTCTTTTTAAGAATGCGAAAAAAATCTCGATGACCTGTTTCTTTCTTTTAATGCGAAAAAATCTCGGGGACCCCCAGACTTTTCCTTTTTCCAAAAATTTAAAAAATCTCGGAGTGTCTTAAAGTTTTTTTTTGGAAAAATTTAAAAACATCTTGGGGGTCGCCGAGTGTCTTTTTAAAAATATGATACCTCTACTCTTTCTGTTTGGAAAAAAATTAAAAGAATCTCGACAGTTTCTAGTGTCTTTTTTTGGAATAATTCAAAAAATAATCTTAATGCCCATAGTTTTGTTAAAAAAAAGAAAAGAATCTTGAGGCTCCTTAGTCTAAACTAATGAAAAATTGTATTCAAATCTTTTGGTTCTTTTTTTTGACACGTTATCTAAAATATTATAATCTAGAAGTTCATAGACACATCCCAATTACACGCCTTATTGAGATAAAAATCTGAAGGATATTATATACCCAAAAAAGCTAAACATTTTTGACAAATTTATTATTTATTAATTATTAGCCAAGGCGACATTCGTCTTTGGTATTATAAGTTGAAATTTCGACGTGTATATGATTTTGAATAACCACAAAAATTCACATTTACGGGAAAGTACTATGAAATATGTAACACGTATATAAATCTTCGTCAAAAAAATTATATAACCCAAAATTACGTCAACGGAAAATGCACCGTACAAACGTTAGAATAAACAAGTTTGGAAACACGGGAAAAGGATCGCCACTTTCTTAAATCTTCCGAATGCCAGTTCATACACCGAACACTGCTTTCGTCGCAGTTCTGCTACAACATTAATTGCTGCTGGTGGTGACATAACAACCAGTTGCATTTTAATAACTGTACCATCCTGAACGTGATCTTTAACGATTATAATCGGTCATGGCAAAAATACTGTACGCAACTCTCATTTAACGCAAATTAAACCACAAAAATCGCTCCGTAACACCTGTTTCCAGAACGTTCCACTCGTGGTTACGCTGACCCACAACATCTTCGACCACTCCGGCACCAGACACCAAAACAAAGCGACTCAAACCTTGCGCAACCCACGCCCCCAACCTCAGCATTCCGCTGTACCATTTTCGTGTTTCCAAATCGACAACCAATTCAGCTCTCTCAAATACCAAAATCTGATCAACGACCCCAAGTTCCAGTTTCATTATCCTTGAAAGATTTTCCACTCTTGCTAAAGCGAGTTTCGAGCCGAAAACGGCAGTCCTCCGGATCACGCCATGCACTTTACGTAAATTCCTGACACACATTTTCACTTTCTACTCAAGTTCATCACAACACTCTTACTTTCGTCCAGCGGTAAACAAACGCAACAATTGCTTGCGTAACGGTGCCGAGATCCGCTCTCGGTCTTGACCTGGTGCGGCCGATTTCAACGATTTAATGGTAATTGCAGAGCATCGCCCATGTGGTCTCCGACGAGTCGTACTTCACCAGGGTCGGACTCAACCTGCTGATCAGACAGACCAAAACCGAGGCGCTGATCCAGATGACCGCGAAGGAGTTCATGTTCGGGTACAGCAGCACGCTGATGACGTTGGGCAACAAGTTCATGCCGAGCTGGATCACCTTCGACAAGCTGGGTTTGATCGATCGGATGTATGATTTCGAGGGGGACTACGAGACGGTGTACACGGGTGAAGACGACGTGCGGAAAAGCGGGCTTTTGGACACTTACAGAGGGTCGACGAAGATCCCGCAGTGGGATAACCCGTGCGGGAACATCAGAGGGGCTTCGGATGGTACTAAATTCCCTGGGTTCATCCAACCCAACGACACGCTGCTCTTCTTCAGGAAGAGCATGTGCAGAGCGAAGACTCTGGTCAAGGTGGGCGAGCAAGTGATCAACGGGCTGGAGACCTACGTGTACAACTTCCAGGAGGACGCCGACGATAACGGGGTCAACAACACGGCGAACAAGTGCTTCTGTAAGGACCAGAATCGGTGTCTACCGCCTGGGTTATTAGACGTGCGCGGGTGCTACTACGGGTTCCCCATAGCCCTCAGCTACCCCCACTTCTACGGAGGCGACCCCATCCTGAACGCCAAGGTGATCGGGAGCAACCCCGATCCCGACAAACACAAGACCTACATGGCCATACAGCCGGTGAGTACGCAACAAACATTACCAAACAGTCCTTGGAAAATAAGTGTCAAAATTCACTGTAAACACGAATCCACGAAACTTTCTTATCTTTCACTATTGTGTGTACCGAGTAATGTAATAATCGAACTCTGCTATATTGCATAACGAACTCCTAGTTAAACGCGTCGTGCTATTCTTACGGAAGCATCTAAAACACAAAAATACACTTTCTTCTTGATTGTGCTAAACCGGGCACGCTTTTTGCAGACGTCAGGCTTGCCGGTTGACCTTGCCGTCCGCTACCAAATCAACATGGCTCTGGGGAGCATCAAAACCATCGCCAACGCGGAGCGATTCAACGAAATGATCTTGCCCTTGCTGTGGACCGAAATCGTACGTATAATCACACTCATTATTATTATTATTATTAAATACGATTTTGTTTGCAGAGACTCTACAGCTTGCCGGACATGCTTGCCGCGCGCTTCCGCCTCTACCTCAACACCCTGCCCGGCGTCGAGCAGGCCATCACCTACTTCTTCTTCGTGATGGGGGCGGCGTTCCTCGCCACCTCCGTCTACAAGTTCCTCACGTCGAAGACCGACCGGTCCTACAACACGCGGTGGATCGAGGACGACCTCGTGCTCAACATCGAGAAGAAGCTGTCCAGCTACAAGCCCGAGAAGAGGGCGAGCATGACGGCCAAGGAGCTCGAGGTGTACTTTTCTAGTCTCGTGACTCCGCTGAACCAAGAGCTGTGCCCCGACGACGAGGAAGCGTGAGACTGCAGGACTTTTGTATATATTTATTTTTAATTGTGATGTTTACGCCTTGTGTGTGGATAATTTATTTCGATGGCCTAGAGAGGTTAGTGGATGAGTTAACTTTAGACAAGGACTTGGTACTGTTTCGTTGTAGAGACAAGTTGTGATATTTATGTCAATTAGACTAGGGCACGCCACTATTTATAATTGCTCAATCTGTAGATTAGGTCGGTAGGATCACTGTCAGTATTTTTGTATTAATTTTTACGAAGATAATAGAAGTAGTAAAATTGAAAATATGTTTTATTGGAATTTGTAACGAAGAAGATAGCCCCACCAACAACACAGTGACGTCACCTCAAAATCATCTCAGAAGTGACATTACTCCATCTATCTAGAGAGTTTTACTTACCTTACCTTAATTCAAGGTTCTAAAGATTCTAAAGGTTTCAAAGATTTCTGAAATTGGTTGTAAAGTCTCCAAAAATTCTAGAGATTTAAAGATTCTACAAATTCTACAGGTTTTCGAGATTCAAGAGATTATGGAAATTCTACAGATCCTAAAAGTTCCGAGAAATCCAGCGATTTTAGAGATTCTAGAGTTTCTAGAAATTCTAGAGGTTCTGGACATAGTGGAGATGCTAAAAATCCTGCAGATTTGAGAGGTTCTAAAGATTCGAAAATTTCTAGAGATTCTAAAGATTCTAAAAATTCTGGAGGTGTTAAAGAGTCTAAAGATTTCAAAATATACATCATCTTAGAGTCTAGCGATTCTAGCAATTCCATAGATTCTAAAAATTCTAGAAGTTCTAGAGGTTCTGGAAATTCTGGAAACGCTAAAGCTTCTGGAGATTCTAAACATTCGAGGAATTCTAGAAATTCCAAAAATTCCAGTGATACTACAGGTTTCAAAGAGTCTAGAAATTTTAAATACTCTAAACGTTTTAGACATTCTAGAACTTCTGAAAATTGTGGAGATGCTAAAAATCCTGGATTCTGAAGATTCTAGAGGTTCTAAGGATTCAGGAGATTTTAAAGATTCGATTAATTCGAAGAATTCTAGAAAATTTTAGAAACTCTAAATGTTTTAAAGGTTCCAGAAATTTTTGAAATTCTAAAGATACTACAGGTTATAAACATTTTAGAGGTTCCGGAAATTGTGATTTCTAAAGTTCTAGAGGTTCTAAGAATTCTGGAGATGCTAAAGCTTCTGGTGATTTTAGTGGTTCTAAAGACTCCAAGACATCTAGGTCCAGTAATTCTAGGGATTAGAAATTTTAAAGTTTCTAGAGGTTCTAGAGATTCTAGATAGTAGATTATAAAGATTCTATAAATTCTAAAGGTTCTGAACATTATAAAGATGCTGAAAATTCTGCAAACCCTAGAGGTTCTAAACATTCGAAAAATTCTAGAGATTCCAAAGATTCTAGAGATTCTGGAGATGTAAAAGATTCTAAAGATTCTAAAAATTTCAAAAAATACAAAATTCTAAATTCAAGTTTTAGAGTTTAATGTTTCCAGCAATTCTAGAAATTCTAACGATTCTAGAGGTTCTAGAGATCCTAGCTCTGAAAATTCTAGGAATGCTAAATATTCTATAGATTATAACGATTCAAGGAATTCTAGAAATTCCAAAAATTCCAGAAATTCTGCATGCTTTAAGGGTTCTAAAAATGTTAGAGATCCTAAAGATTCTAGAGGTTTTATAAACTGTAGAGATGCAAAAGATTCTGAATTCTAAAGGTTTTAGAGGTTCTAAGGATTCAGATTCTACCGATTCGAAAAATTCTCGAAGTTCCAAAAATTCTAGAGACTGAAAATTCAAGAGATTCGTGAAATTTTGGAGATTCTGAAGATGTTGAAGATTCTAAAGATTCCAAGAAATCCAAAATTTTAGCGTTTAGTGGTTACCGAAATTCTAAATATTCTAAAAATTCTAGAGATTCTAGGGGTTCTGGGAGATTCTCAAAATGTTGATAAAGATTCTGGAGATTCTAATGGTTCTAAAGATTCCAAGAAATCCAAGTCTAGCAAGTCCAGTAATTCTAGGGATTAGAGATTCTAATGCTTCGAAAAGCTTTAAAAAATCCGAGAAATTCTATAAATTTTAAAGTTTCTAGAGGTTCTAGAGATTTTAGAGATTCTAGAAATGACGAAGATTCTGGTGATTCTGTAGATGTTATGTTCTAGAGATTGTGGAGATTGTAAATGTTCTAGAGATTCTAAAGATTCCAGAAATCCCGAAATTTCTAAAAATACCAAAAAATTGGAAGTTTTAGAATCTATCGATTCTATCATTTCTAGAGATCAGCGATTCTGAAGATTCGAGAAATTCTATAAATTCCTAAAATTCTAGAGATTGTAAAGATCCTAGAGCTTCTGGAGATCTTAAAGATTCCAAAAATTTCAAAATATACATCGTCTTATTTAGAGTCTAGCGATTCCAGCAAATTCCAGAAATTCTAAAAACTCTAGAGGTTTTAGATATTGTAGAAGCTATGAAAATTCTAGAAACGCTAAAGCTTCTAGATATTCCAAAAATTCCAGAGATTCTACATGTTTCAAAGGGTCTAGAAATTTTGAAGATTCTAAAAGTTTTAGACATTCTAGAAGTTCTGGAAATTGATTCTAGAGGTTCTAAGGATTTAGGCGATTTTAAAGATTCAAGCAATTCGAAGAATTCTAGAAAATCTAAAACTTCCGGAAATTTTAGACATTCTAGATATTTTAGACATTTTAGAGGTTCCAAAATTGTGGTTTCTAAAGATTCTAGAGGTTCTAAGGATTCTGGAGATGCTAAAACTTCTGGCCATTTTAGTGATTCTAATGAAGACTCCAAGAAATCCAAGTTTAGTAATTATAGGGATTAGATATTTTAAAGATTCGAAAAAATTTAGAAACTTAAAAAATTCTAGAGATTCTGGAGATGTAAAAGATTCTAAAAATTTCAAGAAATACAAAATTTTAAGTTCAAGAGATACTAAAGATTCTAGGGGTTTTAGACATTTTAGAGGATCTGGAAATTGTGGAGATGCAAAAAATTCTGAATTTTAAGGATTTTAGAGGATTCAGATGCTAAAGATTCGAGAAATTCTATAAATTCCAAAAACTCAAGAGATTCTTGAACTTTTGAAGATTCTGAAGATGTTGAAGATTCTAAAGATTCCAAGAAATCCAAAATTTTAGAGTTTAACGATTATCGAAATTCTAAATATATATTCTAAAAATTCTAGAGATTCTAGTTGTTTTAGAGATTCTAGAGGTTCTAGGAGATTCTCGAGATGTTGATAAAGATTCTGGAGATTCTAATGGTTCTAAAGATCCCAGGAAATCTAAGCCTAGCGGTTCCCGTAATTCTAGGGATTAGAAATTTTAACGCTTCGAAAATTTTTTAAATGTCCGGAAAATTCTATAAATTTTAAAGTTTCTAGAGGTTCTAGAGATTTTAGAGATTCTAGAAATTACGAAGATTCTGGTGATTCTGCAGATATTAGTTAAAGATTCTGGAGATTCTAAAATTAAATTACTTATGTCACTTTGTGCCAAATAAAAATAATTCAATGAAAATGTCAAAAATGGTGTCAAAAGTGACATTACGAGAAAAATTCCGGCTATCAAGTTTTACTTACCTTGGATTGGCCGCCTGCGCTAAAATTCACAGCCAACGTTGATTTTTACACAACCTGTCAAAAAAATATAAAAAGCTTGGGATGAACAAGAACTACGACAATCTCCCAAACTTGTCAACAATTCCATCTTTATTATGTCACTTCGTGCCAATTAAAAATAATTTAATCAAAAATGTATAAAAAAAATCAAATGGTCTCAAGTTACACTGTAAACACGAATCCACGAAACTTTCTTATCTTTCACTATTGTGTGTACCGAGTAATCTGATAATCGAACTCTGCTATATTGCATAACGAACTCCTCGTTAAACGCGTCGAGAAAGTATCTAAAACACAAAAATACACTTTCTTCTTGATTGCGCTTAAACCGGGCATGCTTTTTGCAGACGTCAGGCTTGCCAGTTGACCTTGCCGTCCGCTACCAAATCAACATGGCTCTGGGGAGCATCAAAACCATCGCCAACGCGGAGCGATTCAACGAAATGATCTTGCCCTTGCTGTGGACCGAAATCGTACGTATAATCCAGTCATTATTATTATTATTATTAAATACGATTTTGTTTGCAGAGACTCTACAGCTTGCCGGACATGCTTGCCGCGCGCTTCCGCCTCTACCTCAACACCCTGCCCGGCGTCGAGCAGGCCATCACCTACTTCTTCTTCGTGATGGGGGCGGCGTTCCTCGCCACCTCCGTCTACAAGTTCCTCACGTCGAAGACCGACCGTTCGTACAACACGCGGTGGATCGAGGACGACCTCGTGCTCAACATCGAGAAGAAGCTGTCCAGCTACAAGCCCGAGAAGAGGGCGAGCATGACGGCCAAGGAGCTCGAGGTGTACTTTTCTAGTCTCGTGACTCCGCTGAACCAAGAGCTGTGCCCCGATGACGAGGAAGCGTGAGACTGCAGGACTTTTGTATATATTTATTTTTAATTGTGATGTTTACGCCTTGTGTGTGGATAATTTATTTCGATGGCCTAGAGAGGTTAGTGGATGAGTTAACTTTAGACAAGGACTTGGTACTGTTTCGTTGTAGAGACAAGTTGTGATATTTATGTCAATTAGACTAGGGCACGCCACTATTTATAATTGCTCAATCTGTAGATTAGGTCGGTAGGATCACTGTCAGTATTTTTGTATTAATTTTTACGAAGATAATAGAAGTAGTAAAATTGAAAATATGTTTTATTGGAATTTGTAACGAAGAAGATAGCCCCACCAACAGCACAGTGACGTCACCTCAAAATCATCTCAGAAGTGACATTAGTCTCTACATTATTCTATCTAGAGACTTTTACTTACCTTGAGTTGGCCAACCTGTCCTAAACACAAAATATAAGCCCCGCCCACCCGCCCTATCTCAATTCTGATGATTTCTTTGTTTGTCGTGAGCCAAGAGGGCGAAGATTAATTGCAAACTCCTTATTTCTCTACAAGAAATAAAAAACATGTTTTTGAGTATCGTTTTGTACAAAGAATACTATGTGTATTAGGAAAAAAATAAACCAAAAATTAAGCTTCATCCATATCCATCCCAAGCTCAATTGTGATGAATTTTCCATTCGTTGTCAAACCGAGGGGCGGAGCCTAATTGCAAAATCGAGATTCTGAAGATTCGAGAAATTTTACAGATCCTCAAAGTTAAGAGAAATCCATAGCAGTTCTAGCAATTTTAGAGATTCTAGAGTTTCTAGAAATTCTAGAGGTTCTGGACATAGTGGAAATGCTGAAAATCCTGCATATTCGAGAGGTTCTAAAGATTAGAAAAATTCTAGAAATTTAAAAAATTCTAGAAATTTAAAAAATTCTACAGATTCTGGAGATTTCAAAATATACATCGTTTTAGAGTCTAGCGATTCCAGCGATTCCAGAGATTCTAAAAATTGTAGAGGTTGTAGAGGTTCTATAGGTTTTAGATATTCTAGAAGCTCTGAAAATTCTGGAAACGCTAAAGCTTCTAGATATTCCATAAATTCCAGAGATTTTACATGTTTTAAGGGGTCTAGAAATGTTGGAGATTCTAAAGGTTTTAGACATTCTAGAACATCTCCAGGTTTAGTAATTCTAGGGATTAGATATTTTAAAGATTCGATAAATTTTAGAAATCCGAAAAATTCTAGAAATTTTAAAGTTGCTAGAGGTTCTAGCGATTCTAAACATTATGGAAATTGTGATGACTCTGTAGATCTGAGTTAAAGTTTAGAGTTTAGCAGTTCCAGCAATTCTAGAGATTCTAAAAGTTCTAGGAATTCTAGACATTTTAGAAATTGTAGAGGTACTAAAGATTCTGGAGATTCTAAATATTGTAGAGTTATAGAAATTTCAAAAATTCTAAGAATCCCAAGAAATCTAAAGTCTTAAAGTCTATTGGTTCCAGTATTTCTAGAGACTGGAGATACAGGAAATTCTAGATATTCTACATATCCTAAAATTTCCAAGAAATCCAAAGCGGATCAATTCTAGATGCTCTAAAGATTCGAAAAATTCTAGAGATTCCAAAGATTCTAGACATTCTGGAGATGTAAAAGATTCTAAAGATTCTAAAAATTTCAAGAAAAACAAAATTTTAAGTTCAAGTTTTAGAGTTTAACGTTTCCAGCAATTCTAGAGATTATAGAGATTCTAAAGATTCTAAACGTTCTAGAAGCTCTGGAAATTCTAGAAATGCTAAAGATTCTGTAGATTATAAAGATTCGAGGAATTCTATAAATTCCAAAAATTCCAGAAATTCTAGAAATTCTGCATGTTTCAAGGGTTCTAAAAATGTTGGAGATCCTAAATATTCTAGAGGTTTTAGACATTTTAAGGGATCTGGAAATTGTGGAGATGGAAAAGATTCTGAATTCTAAAGATTCTAGAAATTCCCGAAATTCCAAAAATTCTAGAGACTGAATATTCAAGAGATTCTTGAAATTTTGGAGATTCTGAAAATGTTGAAGATTCTGAAGATTCCAAGAAATCCAAAATTTTAGAGTTTAGCGGTTACCGAAATTCTAACAATTCTAGATATTCTAGTTGTTTTAGAGATTCTAGAGGTCCTGGGAGATTCTCGAGATGTTGATGGAAAAAAAATGTTCTGGAAACTTTTAAAGAATCCGAGAAATTCTATCAATTTTGGAGTTTCTCTAGAGATTTTAGAGATTCTAGAAGTTATGAAGATTGTGGTGATTCTGTAGATGTTACTTAAAAATTCTAGGAATTCTAACCATTTTAGAAATTGTAGAGGTACTAACGATTCTGGAGATTCTAAATATTGTAGAGTTATAGAAATTTCAAAAATTCTAAGAATCCCAAGAAATCTAAAGTCTTAAAGTCTATTGGTTCCAGTATTTCTAGAGACTGGAGATACAGGAAATTCTAGATATTCTACATATCCTAAAATTTCCAAGAAATCCAAAGCGGATCAATTCTAGATGCTCTAAAGATTCGAAAAATTCTAGAGATTCCAAAGATTCTAGACATTCTGGAGATGTAAAAGATTCTAAAGATTCTAAAAATTTCAAGAAAAACAAAATTTTAAGTTCAAGTTTTAGAGTTTAACGTTTCCAGCAATTCTAGAGATTCTAGAGATTCTAAAGATTCTAAACGTTCTAGAAGCTCTGGAAATTCTAGAAATGCTTAAGATTCTGTAGATTATAAAGATTCAAGGAATTCTATAAATTCCAAAAATTCCAGAAATTCTAGAAATTCTGCATGTTTCAAGGGTTCTAAAAATGTTGGAGATCCTAAATATTCTAGAGGTTTTAGACATTTTACGGGATCTGGAAATTGTGGAGATGGAAAAGATTCTGAATTCTAAAGATTTTAGAGGCTCTAAGGATTCAGATTCTAACGATTCGAAAAATTCTCGACATTCCAAAAATTCAAGAAACTCTGAAAATTCAAGAGATTCTTGAAATTTTGGAGATTCTGAAGATGTTGAAGATTCTAAAGATTCCAAGAAATCCAAAATTTTAGCGTTTAGCGGTTACCGAAATTCTAAATATTCTAAAAATTCTAGAGATTCTAGGGGTTCTGGGAGATTCTCAAAATGTTGATAAAGATTCTGGAGATTCTAATGGTTCTAAAGATTCCAAGAAATCCAAGTCTAGCAAGTCCAGTAATTCTAGGGATTAGAGATTCTAATGCTTCGAAAAGCTTTAAAAAATCCGAGAAATTCTATAAATTTTAAAGTTTCTAGAGGTTCTAGAGATTTTAGAGATTCTAGAAATGACGAAGATTCTGGTGATTCTGTAGATGTTATGTTCTAGAGATTGTGGAGATTGTAATTGTTCTAGAGATTCTAAAGATTCTAGAAATCCCGAAATTTCTAAAAATACCAAAAAATTGGAAGTTTTAGAATCTATCGATTCTATCATTTCTAGAGATCAGCGATTCTAAAGATTCGAGAAATTCTATAAATTCCTAAAATTCTAGAGATTGTAAAGATCCTAGTGCTTCTGGAGATCTTAAAGATTCCAAAAATTTCAAAATATACATCTTAGAGTCTAGCGATTCCAGCAAATTCCAGAAATTCTAAAAACTCTAGAGGTTTTAGATATTGTAGAAGCTATGAAAATTCTAGAAACGCTAAAGCTTCTAGATATTCCAAAAATTCCAGAGATTCTACATGTTTCAAAGGGTCTAGAAATTTTGAAGATTCTAAAAGTTTTAGACATTCTCGAAGTTCTGGAAATTGATTCTAGAGGTTCTAAGGATTTAGGAGATTTTAAAGATTCAAGCAATTCGAAGAATTCTAGAAAATCTAAAACTTCCGGAAATTTTAGACATTCTAGATATTTTAGACATTTTAGAGGTTCCAAAATTGTGGTTTCTAAAGATTCTAGAGGTTCTAAGGATTCTGGAGATGTTAAAGCTTCTGGCCATTTTAGTGATTCTAATGAAGACTCCAAGAAATCCAGGTTTAGTAATTCTAGGGATTAGATATTTTAAAGATTCGAAAAAATTTAGAAACTTAAAAAATTCTAGAGATTCTGGAGATGTAAAAGATTCTAAAAATTTCAAGAAATACAAAATTTTAAGTTCAAGAGATTCTAAAGATTCTAGGGGTTTTAGACATTTTAGAGGATCTGGAAATTGTGGAGATGCAAAAAATTCTGAATTGAGGATTCAGATGCTAAAGATTCGAGAAATTCTATAAATTCCAAAAACTCAAGAGATTCTTGAACTTTTGAAGATTCTGAAGATGTTGAAGATTCTAAAGATTCCAAGAAATCCAAAATTTTAGAGTTTAACGATTATCGAAATTCTAAATATAAATTCTAAAAATTCTAGAGATTCTAGTTGTTTTAGAGATTCTAGAGGTTCTAGGAGATTCTCGAGATGTTGATAAAGATTCTGGAGATTCTAATGGTTCTAAAGATCCCAGGAAATCTAAGCCTAGCGGTTCCCGTAATTCTAGGGATTAGAAATTTTAACGCTTCGAAAATTTTTTAAATACCCGGAAAATTCTATAAATTTTAAAGTTTCTAGAGGTTCTAGAGATTTTAGAGATTCTAGAAATTACGAAGATTCTGGTGATTCTGTCGATGTTACTTAAAGATTCTGGAGATTCTAAAATTAAATTACTTATGTCACTTTGTGCCAAATAAAAATAATTCAATGAAAATGTCAAAAATGGTGTCAAAAGTGACATTAGGAGAAAAATTCCGACTATCAAGTTTTACTTGCCTTGGATTGGCCGCCTGCGCTAAAATTCACAGCCAACGTTGATTTTTACACAACCTGTCAAAAAAATATAAAAAGCTTGGGATGAACAAGAACTACGACAAACTCCCAAACTTGTCAACAATTCCATCTTTATTATGTCACTTCGCGCCAATTAAAAATAATTTAATCAAAAATGTATAAAAAAAATCAAATGGTCTCAAGTTACACTGTAAACACGAATCCACGAAACTTTCTTATCTTTCACTATTGTGTGTACCGAGTAATCTAATAATCGAACTCTGCTATATTGCATAACGAACTCCTCGTTAAACGCGTCGAGGAAGTATCTAAAACACAAAAATACACTTTCTTCTTGATTGTGCTTAAACCGGGCACGCTTTTTGCAGACGTCAGGCTTGCCAGTTGACCTTGCCGTCCGCTACCAAATCAACATGGCTCTGGGGAGCATCAAAACCATCGCCAACGCGGAGCGATTCAACAAAATGATCTTGCCCTTGCTGTGGACCGAAATCGTACGTATAATCACAGTCATTTTTATTATTATTATTAAATACGATTTTGTTTGCAGAGACTCTACAGCTTGCCGGACATGCTTGCCGCGCGTTTCCGCCTCTACCTCAACACCCTGCCCGGCGTCGAGCAGGCCATCACCTACTTCTTCTTCGTGATGGGGGCGGCGTTCCTCGCCGCCTCCGTCTACAAGTTCCTCACGTCGAAGACCGACCGGTCCTATAACACGCGGTGGATCGAGGACGACCTCGTGCTCAACATCGAGAAGAAGCTGTCCAGCTACAAGCCCGAGAAGAGGGCGAGCATGACGGCCAAGGAGCTCGAGGTGTACTTTTCTAGTCTCGTGACTCCGCTGAACCAAGAGCTGTGCCCCGATGACGAGGAAGCGTGAGACTGCAGGACTTTTGTACATATTTATTTTTAATTGTGATGTTTACGCCTTGTGTGCGGATAATTTATTTCGATGGCCTAGAGAGGTTAGTGGATGAGTTAACTTTAGACAAGGACTTGGTACTGTTTCGTTGTAGAGACAAGTTGTGATATTTATGTCAATTAGACTAGGGCACGCCACTATTTATAATTGCTCAATCTGTAGATTAGGTCGGTAGGATCACTGTCAGTATTTTTGTATTAATTTCTACGAAGATAATAGAAGTAGTAAAAAATTGAAAATATGTTTTATTGGAATTTGTAACGAAGAAGATAGCCCCACCAACAACACAGTGACGTCACCTCAAAATCATCTCAGAAGTGACATTACTCCATTTATCTAGAGAGTTTTACTTACCTTACCTTAATTCAAGGTTCTAAAGATTCTAGAGGTTTCAAAGATTCCAAAGATTTCTGAAATTGGTTGTAAAGCAACCAATTTCTTCTATTCTTCAAATTCTAGAGATTTAAAGATTCTACAAATTCTACAGGCTTTCGAGATTCAAGATATTATGGAAATTCTACAGATCCTAAAAGTTCTCTAAAACCAATTTTAGAGATTCTAGAGTTTCTAGAAATTCTAGAGTTTCTGGACATAGTGGAAATGCTGAAAATCCTGCAGATTTGAGAGTTTATAAAGATTTCGAAAAATTCGAGAGATTGTAAAGATTCTAAAGACTCTGGAGGTGTTAAAGATTCTAAGGACTTCAAAATATACATCGTCTTAGAGTCTAGCGATTCCAGCAATTCCAGAGATTCTAAAAATTCTAGAGATTCTAGAGGTTTTAGATATTCTAGAAGTACTGGAAATTCTGGAAACGCTAAAGCTTCTGGAGATTCTAAACATTCGAGAAATTCTAGAAATCCCAAAAATTCCAGTGATACTACAAGTTTCAAAGGGTCTAGAAATTTTAAAGATTCTAAAGTTTTTAGACATTCTAGAACTTCTGGAAATTGTAGAGATGCAAAAGATCCTGGATTCTATAGATTCTAGAGGTTCTAAGGATTCAGGAGATTTTAAAGATTCGAGGAGTTCGAAGAATTCTAGAAATTCTAGATGTTTTAAAGGTTCCAGAAATTTTTGAAATTTTAAATTTTAGATATTTTAGAGGTTCCGGAAATTGTCGTTTCTAAAGATTCTAGAGGTTCTAAGGATTCTGGAGATGCTAAAGCTTCTAGCGATTTTAGTGGTTCTAAAGACTCCAAGAAATCCAGGTCTAGTAATTCTAGGGATTGTATATTTTAATGATTCGATAAATTTTAGAAATCCGAAAAATTCTAGAAATTTTAAAGTTTCTAGAGGTTCCAGAGATTCTAGATATTATGAAAATTCTGGTGACTGTAGATCTGAGCTAAAGGTTCTGGAGATTCTAAAAATTCCAAAAAATTCAAGGATTTAGAGTTTACCAGTTCCAGCAACTCTGGAGATTCTAAAAATTCTAGGAATTTTAAACAATTTAGAAATTGTAGAGGTACTCAAGATTCTGGAGATTCTAAATGTTGTAGAGATTCTAATGATTCGAAAAGTTATAGAAATTCCAAAAATTCTAAAAACTCCAAGAAATCTAAAGTTTTAGAGTCTATCGGTTCCAGCATTTCTAGAGACTGCGGATTCAGAAAATTCTAGAGATTCTAAAGATTCCTAAGATTTAGAGAATCCAAAGCGGTTCCATTAATTCTAGAGATTCTAAAGATTCTAGAACTTCTGGAGGTTTTGAACAATGTAAAGATGCTGAAAATTCTCCAAACTCTACAGGTTCTAAAGATTCGAAAAATATACATCGTCTTAGAGTCCCGAAATTCCAGAGATTCTAAAAATTCGAGAGGTTCTAGAGGTTCTAGGGGTTTTAGATATATTAGCATAGTATATGTTATTAATTCTAGAAATGCTAAAGCTTCTGGAGATTCTAAACATTCGAGGAATTCTAGAAATTCAAAAAATTCCAGAGATTCTACATGTTTCAAAGGGTCTTGAAATTTTGAAGATTCTAAAGGTTTTAAACATTCTAGAACTTCTGGAAATTGTGGAGATGCAAACGATCCTGGATTCTAAAGATTCTAGAGGTTCTAAGGATTCAGAAGAATTTAAAGATTAAAGAAATTCTAGAAATTCAAAAAATTCTAGAGATTCTAAAGATTTGAGGAATTCGAAAAATTCTAGAAATTCTAAAAATTCCAGAAATTTTACAAATTCTAGATGTTTTAAAGGTTCCAGAAATTTTTGAAATTCTAAATATTCTACAGATTTTAGACATTTTGGGGGTTCACGAAATTGTGGTTTCTAAAGATTCTAGAGGTTCTAAGGATTCTGGAAATGCTAAAGCTTCTAGCGATGTTAGTGGTTCGAATAAAGACTCCGAATTCTAATGTTGTAGAGATTCTAATGATTCGAGAAGATATAGAAATTCCAAGAAATCTAAAGTTTTAGAGTCTATCGGTTCCAGCATTTCTAGAGAATGGAGATTCAGGAAATTCTAAAGATTCTAAAAATTTCAACAAATACAAAATTTTAAGTTCAAATTTTAGAGTTTAACGTTTCCAGTAATTCTAGAGATTCTAAAGAATCTAGAGGTTCTAGAGGTTTTACAGATCCTAGAAGCTCCGGAAATTCTAGAAATGCTAAAGTTTCTGTAGGTTATAGAGATTTACGGAATTGTAGAAATTCCAAAAATTCCAAAAATTCCAGAGATTCTAGAAATTCTACATATTTTTAGGGTTCTAAAAACGTTGGAGATTCGAAAGATTCTAGAGACTTTAGAAATTTTAGGGGAGCTGGAAGTTGTTGAGATTCAAACGATTCTGATTTCTAAAGATTTTAGAGGTTCTAAGGATTCAGATTCTAAAGATTCAAGAAATTCTATAAATTCCAAGAATTCTAGAGATCATAAAGATTCTAGAAAGTCTGCAAGTTTTCGAGATTCAAGAGATTATGGAAATTCTACAGATCCTAAAAGTTTAGAGAAATCCATAGCAGTTCCGGCAATTCTAAAGATTCTAGAGTTTCTAGAAATTCTAGAGGTTCTGGAAATTCTAGAAATTGAAAACATTTCAGACATTCTAAAGATTCTAGAGATTCTGGAGATGTTAAAAATTCTAAACATTTCAAAATATACATCGTCTTAGACTCTAGCAATTCCAGAGATTTTTTTAATTCTAGAGGTTCTAGAGGTTTTAGATATTGTAGATGTTCTGCAAATTCTGGAAACGCTAAAGCTTCTGGAGATTCTAAACATTCGAAGAATTCTAGAAATTCCAAAAATTCCAGAGATTCTACATGTTTCAAAGGGTCTAGAAATTTTGAAGATTTTAAGGTTTTAGAGACTTTAAAACTTCTGGAAATTGTGGAGATCCAAAAAAATCCTGTATTCTAAAGATCCTAGAGGTTCTAAGGATTCAGGAGGTTTTTAAGATTAAAGAAATTCTAGAAATTCCAAAAATTCTAGAGATTCTAAAGATTCGAGGAATTTGAAAAATTGTAGAAATTCTAAAAATTCCAGAAATTGTAGAAATTCTAGATGTTTGAAGGTTTCAGAAATTTGTGAAATTCTAAAGATTCTACAGGTTTTAGACATTTTAGAGGTTCCCTAAATTGTGGTTTCTAAAGATTCTAGAGTTTCTAAGGATTCTGGAGATGCTAAAGCTTCTGGAGATTTTAGTGGTTCTAAAGACTCCAAGAAATCCAGGTCTAGTAATTAGGAATTTTAGAAATCCGAAAAATTCTAGAAATTTTAAAGTTTCTAGAGGTTCTAGAGATTCTAGATATTATGAAAATTCTGCTGACTCTGTAGATCTGAGTTAAAGCTTCTGGAGTTTCTAAAAATTCTAGAAATTCTAGACGTTTTAGAAATTGTAGAGGTACTAAAGATTCTGGAGATTCTAAATATTGTAGAGATTCTAGTGATTCAAGAAGTTATAGAAATTCCAAAAATTCTAAAAATTCCAAGGATAGTAAAGTTTTAGAGTCTATCGGTTCCAACATTTCTAGAGACTGGAGATTCAGGAAATTCTAGAGATTATAAAGATTCCTAAGATTCCACAAATTCTACATATCCTAAAATTTCCAAGAAATCCAAAAAGGTTCCATCAATTCTAGAGATTTTAAGATTCTAGAAATTCCAAAGGTTCTGAACATTATAAAAATGCTGAAAATTCTGCAAACTCTAGTGGTTCTAAAGATTCGAAAAATTCTAGAAATTTAAGAAATTCTAGAGATTCTAAATATTCTAGAGATTCTGTTGATGTAAAAGATTCTAAAGATTCTAAAAATTTCAAGAAATATAAAATTTTAAGTTCAAGTCTAGAGTTTAACGTTTCCGGCAATTCTAGAGATTCTAAAGCTTCTAGAGGTTTTAGAGATCCTAGAAGCTCTGGAAATTCTAGAAATGCGAAAGATTCTGTAGATTATGAAGATTCTAAAGATTCTAGAGGTTTTAGAAATTTTAGGAGATCTGGAAATTGTGCAGATGCAAAAGATTCTGAATTCTAAAGATTTTAGAGGTTCTAACGATTCAGACTCTAAAAATTCGAGAAATTTTAGAGATTCCAGAAATTCTAGAGAGTCTAAAAGTTCAACAGATACTTGAAATTTTGGAGATACTGAATTTTAGAGTTTAGCGGTTACCGAAATTCTAAATATTCTAAAAATTCTGGAGATTCTAGTTGTTTTAGAGATTCTAAAGGTTCTAAAGATCTCAAGAAATCCAAATCTGGCGGTTCTAGTAATCCTAGGGATTAGAGATTCCAATGCTTCGAAAAACTTTTAAAAATCCGAAAAATTCTACGAATTTTAAAGTTTCTAGAGATTTTAGAGATACTAGAAATTACGAAGATCCTGGTGATTGTGCCAAATAAAAATAATTCAATAAAAAAGTCAAAAATGTGTAAAAAAATCAAATGGTGTCAAAAGTGACATTGAGAGAAAAATTCCGGCTATCAAGTTTTACTTACCTTGGGTTGGCCGCCTGCGCTAAATTCACAGCCAACGTTGATTTTACACAACCTGCCAAAAAAATATAAAAAGATTGGGATGAACGAGAACTACGACAATCTCCCGAATCTGTCAGCAATTCCGTCTTTATCATGTCACTTCGTGCCAATTAAAAATAATTCAATCAAAAATGTATAAAAAAAATCAACTTGTCTCAAGTTATTAAATTTTACTTACCTTGGGTTGGCCACCTGCGCTAAAATTCACAGCCAACGTCGATTTGTCGCAACCTGTCAAAAATATAGGAATGGATTGAGCAGGACTTTAACAACCCCCACCTCTCAACAATTCCGTCTTTATTATGTCACTTTGTGCCAAATAAAAATAACTCAATCAAAATGCCATAAATGTGTTAAAAAATAAAATACCTGTCTATTAGTCTTCTTAAATTAATCTAATAATATCACATTGATTATCCGGAGCCCTCCCACCTTCGGCTACCTCTCCGCCTGCCTCTCCACTTCCTCAATAACCTGGAGCAGCCGCTGCCGCGTCTTTTTATTATTCTGACATGCACAGCTCACCAAACCGAACAGATGCTTCGACGAGTACTCCTACAAAAAACACATAACCTCACTTTCCAACCAACGTTTAACTCACCGTGTGCTCCTTGATCCACTTCTCCAGCTCCCCCTCCGGCAAATAAAACGCCTTGACGTAATTCTCGACATACTCGCGATGCGGAACGGGCCTCAGCCCCGCCATTTTCTCGAATTTCGTCAAGAATTGAATAAAATCTAGTTGCATGAGAGCGCGACCTCCGTTTGAACATTTCTTGGCTTCGCTAAACCTGGCAATTACCACAATCACAACCACGCTACTACTAATTATAATTAAATTACCCTTGGACTAAAGTGTGGGTAATTATATGGGAGATGCTCTCCCACAGGGAATGGGAGACTTCGGCCACGACAGGGACTTTCACGGCCACTTCTTCCAAGCGCAAGGTGAAAATCTGCACTTCCTAGTCAACAAAACACAACTAATTACGATAATTAGGCGACATTGGGTAATTACCCTCAGGATTAGGTCGATGTAGGTGTTGTGTTGCGACATCACCTCCTTCACTTCCCAGTTGATTTTCGACATGGAGAGCAAAATCTGGCGCAAGTCGAAGGCTTGCGCCCCCACGGCCATGTAAATCGGTTTTCTTAAGTCGTTGGCGCTCGATATATTCTAAAAACGAAAATTTTAAATTGTTTGGGGTTTTAGAGTGACTCGGTTGGCACCCGTGTCGCACGTTCTGTCTCTATCGCACCCACTCGCACTCTCGATCCAGCCATCTCGTTCCACACCAACTGACACGTTTTCTGTCAACAACATAACCTCAAAATGGAAGACAACGCGATAAAAGTCGGCGATTTTGTTATAGTGCAGCGCCAGGGCTACACCAAACTCCACAAACTGAAAGAGCATGGGACTCTCTCGCTTGGTAGTTTCAACATGGAAATGGACAACATCGTGGGTGAAAAATACTCCGACACTTTCCAGATGAAGAATTACCCCGGGAGCAAGAAACTCTTCACTTTGGAAAAAGTGGACGAAATTCCGTCCGTCTTGTCGATTAATATAGAGAAAAGCGGCGCTGATAATCGCAACATCACCGACGACGGGCAATCCCAAAACCTCACGACTGAAGAAATCGCCAAACTCAAGTCTGAAGAACTCAACTCCAACAACATCGTGGGTAAATTGATCACAAACTCGAGGACTTTCAACGAAAAAACTGAATACAGTCAGGAGAAATATATGAAGAAGAAGGAGAAGAAGTATTTCGAGTATGTACAAATCAGGCGCCCGACGATCCGGCTTTTAGCCACCATGTTCTACCGACAAGACCCTACGAAGACGCTTGGTATCCGCAGCGACGACTTGTCTCAGATCATTACTTATTCCAATGTTCAAGCGCAAGGTACGCACTTACTGTACGACAGCGGCACTTCCGGTCTACTTCCAGCCGCCCTCCTCAACCAAATCGGGGCTCAAAACCCCGCCCACCTCGTGCACGTCCACCCAGGCAACGAATGCCAGAAAAGCGCCATCGTGGCAATGAACTTCCCCCAGGAGCAGCTCGCCAGATGCATCAACGTCAACTTATACTCAGTCCTGCGGTGCTTCTACCAAAACAAAGACGCTTATAATAGTGAGCCCCAGTGCAAAAAAATCAAACTCGACGACTCCGCCCCCAAGAAACCGGGTTGGCAAATCGAGAACGAGAAGGCGTGTCGTTTGTTGGAGGTGGGCGTGGACTCGCTGGTCGTCGCCGCGAAGGAACACCCCGTTTCGATAGTCGACCAATTAGTGAGGTTCCTGAAAGGGGGGCGTTACCTGGTCGTTTTTAGTGCGACGCGCGAACCGTTGCAAGATTTGTACAACCACCTTAAGGAAAGACTCGATTTTATTTATATCCGGATTGTGAGTAATTTCATGAGGAGTTACCAAGTGTTGCCTGATAGGACGCACCCTGAGGTGAATATGACGTCAGGGGGGTACGTTTTGACGGGGTTTAAGTTGGTTTCGTAATAATAATAAACGACTCACCTGTGAGAAAAATTGTTGAAGGGTTGTTTTACTAGTGGGGGGGATCAAGTATTCTAGGAATTCCTGGAGGTATTCGTACTGTTTGGCTAGAAATATCACGCTTTCCACGCCCACGATGCGCTCGGCCAATCCGTGCAGGCGCTCGGGTTTGGACAAGTCGACCATTGGAGAGAGGGCGGGTTTTAGGATTTTGTAACCGTTTTCGGTGGGCGGTTCCTCGAATTCGGTTACGAGAGTGTCACGGATTTTTTTGAGGGTGGAGCTTAACTCGTTGGAGTAGAGGGAGTTGCTTGCGATGGTCTACAACGACGCGATTAACCTAAAAAAAATTGTGTGTGGCGACTTACCAAATCGGCAGCAAAAAATAAATGCACCGAATAGAGATAAAAATCGAAAAGTTGGTTCATACAACTAATAATTTGGTGCGCTATAGATTTCAGGAGTCTCGACATCTGCAAATATTTCCCCATTTGTCGTAAGACAGACAGGGTCGTATTAGTCAGAATTAGGGTCTGTTTATTCGCCTTGTCCCTCTTTTTGGTAATAGGGCTCGAATTTTCGGTAACGTAATCCTCGAAGTCCCTCATGTCATCAGTTTCGTCGTCGCTCTCTTCGGAAAAGTATCCAGAAGCGTCATTTTCGCACGCCAGAATATCTTCCTCGATTATCGTCTCGTCTAAGCCCGAATCGAACGGAGTCCCGCTTTCGGCGTACCTCACGAAATAATTCCCGACAATACTGCTCCCATCCTGGGAATGGTTCGACGAGCAGCAATCCGTCGAGGTCGTGGAGTAAGTCCCGGTCATGGGTGGCCTAAACTTGAACGTCTTCAAAATCGACCTCAGCGACTTAAATTCTTGCAGCTGTAAAATCGTGAAAGTGGGTTTAACCGGGCACACTTCCCACATTTCGTTCTCTAGAAAAATCTTCAGCTCCTCGAGCCTCTGGATGTGGTAGTTTTTGAAATAGTTGACGCTTTGTTTCCGAATTGACTCCTGCAAGTCCTCGCTCTTGCTCAAGCAGAACTCCTCGCCGACTTGGATCAGCCGGTGCACCACCCCCAGGACCTGCACGAACTGGTCGAACTTGTAGGACGCTAAGTCCGCGTTTAGCAGCAGACTCGAGACTTTTCGTTGGACGTCGTCCCAGATTTTCGTGAGGTTGTGGTCGAGTTTTTGGCGGTTCGGGGGGTCGGTGTCTTGGTTGTAGTGCCATTTGATGAGTTGGTAGTAGCTGAGGACGATTTTGAAGAGGACTTTGCATAGGCTGATCAAGCAGGGGATGAAGACGTCGGTCGTGACGCTCTGTTTGGACAAAAAGTGGGGTTATGGTGGAAAGTGAGTGAGGTTAGGGTACCTGGCAGAGCGTCTTGTAGGGGTTTTTGCCGCTGGTGTCCGTGTTTTCTAGGGCTTCTGGTGATGTTACGTAGGAGTGGACTACATTTAGAGAGGTGTTGTAGATCGCTGTGATGTAGTGGACGTGGAGATTGTCGATCATGGAGATTTCGGATTTGTCGAGGAGGTTGTAGGCGAGGAGGAGCTTCTCGTAGCGGTCGGGGTCGAAGTGGTAGCAAGTCTGGAATGATGATGATGTTATTTAGCTAGAAAGGGGGCGCCTGAGTTTGAGAGATTTTTTTTTGTGTTGATCAAAGGTTATTTCATAGAATTACCTCGCCCCTGAAGTGTTTTTAATTTTTTTTTGTCTTTCTAGTTTTGCGATTTGCAATTTACCGAGTTTTCGAGTTTAAATTTTTCAGTTTTTAGATTTTTCAATTTTTCGATTTCTTAATTTTCCGATACTTCAATTTAAAGATTTTCTAATTTTTCGATTTAAATTTTTCAATTTTTGGCGTTTTCTAAATTTCGGATTTCTCAATTAATCGATTTTTGATTTTTAGACTTTTCGCTTTCTCTTTTTTTCGACTTTCTTTCTTTTAAATTTTAGATTTTTTATTGTTTGTCTTGATCTCTCGATTTTTTAACTTCTTGCTTGGACATTTTTCAGTTTTTCATTTTTTCGATTTTTCGGTTTTAATTTTTTCAGTTTTTCATTTTTTCGATTTTTCGGTTTTAATTTTTTCAGTTTTTCGATTTATCGAGATTTCATTGTTTCGATTTTTCCACATTTCAGTTTTGGATTTTTTTCAATTTCTCGATTTTTCAGTTTTTCGAGTATCCAATTTTTCCGTTTTTTTAAACTGTAGATTTTTCGATTTCTTAATTTTCCAATACTTCAGTTTTACGATTTTTTAATTTTTCGACCCCTGAATTTTTCGATCGAATTTCGGATAACGTGATTAATCGTTTTTTTTTATTTTTCGACTTTTCGCTTTTTCAGTTCTTCGACTTTTTTAAATTGAAGATTTTTTATTGTTTGGCGTTCTAATTTCAAGGTTTTTCAACTTTTAGATTTTTCAGTTTTTCATTTTTTTGATTTTTAAAATTTTTGATTTTTCGGTTTTAATTTTTTCGATTTAACGACATTTCGATGTTTCGATTTTTCGGTTTTTTAATGAATGTTTCGATTTCTCGAATTCTCGGTTTTGCAATTTTTCGAGTTTTCAATTTTTATAATTTTAGATTTTTAACTTTTCGATTTTTTGATCTTTTGAATTCTTGATTTTAAATTTTTCGATTTTTCAATTTTTCGATTTCATGTTTCGATTTCTCGATTTTTCAACTTCTTGCTTTTAAATTTTTCAGTTTTTCATTTTTTCGATTTTTTATTTTTCGGGTTTAAATTTTTCGAATTTTCAGTTTTGGGATTTTTCAATTTCTCGATTTTTCAGTTTTTCGGGTATCTAATTTTTCCATTTTTTATATTTAGATTTTTCGATCTCTCGCTTTGTTTTTTGATTTTTTAGTTTTTTAATTTTTTGATGTTTCGATCTAATTTTAAGAATCTTCGATTTCTCGATTTTTTATTTTTCCATTTCTTAATTTTTTTATATATCAGAAAGCCAATTTTTAAGATTTTTCTTTTTTTTGTTTCTTCAATTTTTAGATTTTGCAATTTTTCGACTGAAAATTTCTAGCATTTTCAATTGTTAATTTTTTAATTTTTCGATTTTTTAATATTTTTTCATGCCTTCAAATTTTTAAACTCTTCAAGAATTTTGATTTTTACATTTTTCAGTTTTTCGATTTTCCAACTTTTGGATTTTTCAATTGTTCGATTTGCACTTTCACGAGTTTTCAATTTTTAATTTTCCAATTTTACGATTTTTCAGTTTTCATGTCTTCAATTTTTCGTTTGTTTTTTATTTTCTTCATTTTTTCAATTTTTCGGTTTTCCAATGTTCCGATTTAATAATTTTTCTTTATTCAGTGTCAAATTTTTGAATTTTGGATATTCAGTTTTTCAATTTTCAATTTTTCGGTTTTCATTTTTCGATTTTCCAATTTATATTTTTTTTAATTTCTAAATGATTTTATTTATCGACCCCTCAATTTTTCAATCTAAATTCTTCAATTTTTGGAGCTCCTAACTTTCCCATGTCTGGGTTAATCGATTTTTTGATTGTTCGGTTTGTCTTTTTTTCAACTTTCTGATTTCAATTTTTTTAATTTCTAGATTTTTTGATCTTTTGATTTCTTGATTTTTCAGTTTTTCGATTTTAATTTTAGATTTTTTCCTCGATTTTTGAACTACATACTCGCTTTTTGGTTTTCCAATTTTTCAGTTTTTCGATTTTTCAATTTTTTGATTTGCACTTTAACGAATTTTCAATTTTTAATTTTTCAATTTTAGGATATTTCATTTTTTCATGTCTTCAATTTTTCGTTTCCTTTTTTATTTTCTCTATTTTTTTAATTTTTCAGTTTTTCAGTGCCCTGATTTAATTTTTCTTTTTTTAGATTTCTCAAATTTCGAATTTTTAAACTTTAAATTTTTTATTTTCTGATATTTCGATTTCTCAACTTCTCGCTTTTAGATTTTTCATTTTTTCGATCTTTAAAATTTTTGATTTTCCGATTTTAAATTTTTTAAATTTTCAGTTTTTCGATTTAGCCATCCATGTTTCAATTTTTGATTATTTAAATTTTTAAAACACTGTAGTGTTGTTAACATGAATAAAGAATTGAATTGAATTAAATTTTAGTTTTTTCAATTTTTTGATCTTTTGATTTCTTTATTTTTCAATTTCTCGAAATTTTAAATTTTGAATTTTTCAGTTCTTCGGTTTTTCAATTTTTCAAATTTTTAAATTTTATATTTTTTATTTTTTGTGTTTCGAATTCTTGATTTTTCAACTACTCGCTTTTCGATTTTTCAGTTTTTCCAATTTTTCGATCTATGAATGAATGTTTCGATTTCTCAAATACTCGGTTTTGGATTTTTCGATTTTTCAGTTTTTCGATTATCCAATTTTTGCATTTTTTAAATTTTAGATTTTTCGATTTCCCGCGTTCCTGTTTTTATTTTTTAGTTTTTCGCATTTTTAAATTTTACATTTGCGATGTTTTGATTTCCCAATTTAAAAATTTTTAATATGTATTTTAATAAAAAAAAATGACGATTTCTCGATTTTTTTATTTTCCATTTCTTAATTTTTTTATATTCCAGAAACCCAATTTTAGATTTTTCAATTTTTCGATTTGCACTTTCACGAGTTTTCAGTTTTACGATTTTTCAGTTTTTCAATTTCTCGGTTCTTCAATATCCCGATTTAATAATTTTTCTCTTTTTTTTCAATGTGAAATTTTTCGAATTTTGGATTTATAAGTTTTTCGATTTGCAACTTTTGATTTTCCAATTTTTAATTTCTCGATTGTTTTATTTTGCGATTTATCAATTTTTCCATACTTCAGTTTTACAATTTTTTAATTTTTCGACTCCTTAATTATTCAAATCAAATTTTTCAATTTTTGGCGTATCTAAATTTCCGATTTCTCGATTAATCGATTTTTTGATTTTTCGGCTTTTCGTTTTCTCCTTTTTACAACTTTCTGATTTCTCCATTTTTCAGTTTTTCGATTTCTCGAGGTTTCAGTTTTGGGGTTTTTTCATTGTTCCAATTTTTTGAATCTTACATTTTTCGATTTTTTGATCGTTTGATTTCTTGATTTTTCAATTTTTAAACTTTAGATTTTTTATATTTTGATGCTTCAATTTCTCGATTTTTCAACTTCTCGCTGTTAGATTCTTCAGTTTTTAATTTTTTCGATTTTTAAAATTTTTAATTTACAGGTTTAAATTTTTCGAATTTTCAGTTTTTCGATTTATCAATTTTTAGACTTCTCGATTTTTCGATCTTTTTATGAATGTTTCGATTTCTCAAATTCTCGGTTTTGAGATTTTTCGACTTTTCAATTTTTCAATTTGTTGAGTTTCAGTGTTTCAGTTTTGGAATTTTTCATTATTTCAATTCTTACATTTTAGTTTTTTCGATTTTTTGATCTTTTGATATCTTTGTGTTTCAATTTTTCGAATTTTTAAATTTTATATTTTTTATTTTTTGCTTCGATTTCTAGATTTTTCAACTACTCGCTTTTCGAATTTTCAGATTTCCATTTTTTGATTTATCAAGATTTCGATGATTTGATTTTGGGCTACTTTGATTATCAATTTTTCGACTTCTCGATTTTTCGATCTTTTCATGAAAAAATCAAATTCTCGGTTTTGCAATTTTTCGATTTTTGTTTTTCGACTATCCAATTTTCCATCTTCCATTTCGCTTTTTTAAATTTTACATTTTCGATTTTTTGATGTTTCGATTTCCCAATTTAATTTTTTTTTATATGTATTTTAATTTAAAACAATGTCGATTTCTCGATTTTTTATTTTCCGTTTCTTAATTTTTTTATATTCCAGATTATTCTTGGATTTTCCAACTTTTGGATCTTTCAATTTTTCGATTTGCACTTTCACGAGTTTTCAATTTTACGATTTTTCGGTTTTTCAATTTTTCGGTTTTTCAATACCCTGATTTAATAATTTTTCTTTTTTTCAATGTGAAATTTCCCGATTTTGGATTTTAAAGTTTTTCGATTTGTAACTTTTTGGTTTTTATTTTTCGATTGTTTTGTTTTTCGACCCAATTTTTCAATTTTTGGCGTGTCTAAATTTCCGATTTCTCGATTAATCGATTTTTTGAGTATTCGACGTTTCGTTTTCCCCTTTTTTCGATTTTCTGATTTCCCAAAATTTTTCGATTTCTCAAGGTTTCGGTGTTTCAGTTTGGGGATTTTTCATTATTTCAATTTTTTCAATTTTAGATTTTTCGATTTTTTGATTTCTTGATTTTTCAATTTTTCGAAATTTTATTTTTTCGATTATTCAGTTCCTCGATTTTTCAACTACTGGCTTTTAGATTTTTCAATTTTTCATTTTTTCGATTTTTAAAATTTTTGATTTTCCGGTTTTAAATTTTTCCAATTTTCAATTTTTCAAAATATAACTCTTTGAGTTTTAGTTTTCAAATTTTCCAATTTTTAAATTTTCCAAGTTTTAGATTTTTCAGTTTTTCGATTTGCACTTTCACGAGTTTTCAATTTTTAATTTTTTCAATTTTACAATTTTTCAGTTTTTATATCTTCAATTTTTCGTTTCTGTTTTTTATTTTCTTTATTTTTTCAATTTTTCGATTTTCCAATTTTCAAATTTTTTATTTTCTCGATTGTTTTATTTTTTGTTTTTAATTTTCCGATACTCCTGTTTTACCATTTTTTAATTTTTCGACCTTCCAATTTTTCGATTTAAATTTTTCAATTCTTAGCATTTCTAAATTTCGGATTTCTCGATTAATCGATTTTTGATTTTTCGAGTTTTGCTTCCATTCTTTTCCGACTTTCTGATTTCTCGAGGTTTCGGTGTTTCAGTTTTGGGAATTTTTTTTTTTAATTTTTAATCTTCTGATTTTTTGATTTTTGGATTTACCGATTTTTCAGTTCTTCGATTCTTCAATTTTCGGATTTTTAAATTTTCGATTTTTTATTTTTTGTTTCGATTTCTCAAATTTTCAACTTCTTGCTTTTAGAATTTTCAGTTTCTCATTTTTTTTTGCTTTTTATAATTTTTGATTTTTCGGTTTAATTTTTTCAATTTATCAAGATTTCCATGTTTCAACTATTCAAATTTTCCACATTTTAGTTTTGGGTTTTTTAATTTCTCTTTTATTTTCAGTTTTTCAAGTATTCAATTTTTCCATTTTTTTAATTTTTATATTTTTCGATTTCTTAATTTTCCGATTCTTCAGTTTTACGTTTTTTTAAATTTTTCGAGCCCTCAATTTATCGGTTTCAATTTTTCAATTTTTGCCGTTTCTAAATTTCGAATTTCTTGATTATTCGATTTTTTAATTTTTCAACTTTCCGCTTTCTCTTTTTTCAACTTTCTGATTTTTCAGTTTTTCGATTTCTCAAGATTTCGGTGTTTCAGTTTTGGGATTTTTCATTATTTCAATTTTTTAGATTTTTTGATCTTTTGATTTCTTGATTCTTTAGTTTGAAATTTTAATTTTTCGATTTTTCAATTTTTCGAACCTTTAAATTTTAGATGTTTTGTTTTTTGATGTTTCGATTTCCCAATTTTTCAACTCCTTACTTTTAGATTTTTCAATTTTTCGACTTCTCGATTTTTCGACACTTCAGTTTTGGGATTTTTTAATTTTTCGATTTTTGAATTTTTCCATTTATTATATTTCAGATTTTTCGATTTCTGGCTTTGTTTTTATTTTTTAGTTTTTCGATTTTTTAAATTTTACACTTTCGATTTTTTGATGTTTCAATTTCCCAATTTAATTTTTTTAATATGTATTTTAATTTTTAAAATTTTCGATTTCTCGATTTTTTTATTTTCCATTTCTTAATTTTTTTATATTCCAGAAACCCAATTTTAGATTTTTCAATGTTTGGATTCTTGGATTTTCCGCCTTTTGGATTTTTCAATTTCTCAATTTGCACTTCCACAAGTTTTCAATTTTTAATTTTTCAATTTTACGGTTTTCCAGTTTTTAAATTTTTCGGTTTTTCGATATCCTGATTAATAGTTTTTCTTTTTTTCAATGTGAAATTTTTCGAATTTTGGATTTTAAAGTTTTTCGATTTGCAACTTTTGATTTTCATTTTTCGATTTTCCAATTTTTAATTTCTCGATTGTTTTGTTTTCGATTTCTTAATTTTCCCATACTTCAGTTTTACGATTTTTTAATTTTTCGATTTAATTTTTTCAATTTTTGGCGTTTCTAAATTTGCGATTTCTCGATTACTTGATTTTTTAATTTTTCGACTTTTCGCTTTCTCCTTTTTACGACTTTCTTATTCCTGGTTTTTTATTTTTTCGATTCTAAAGGTTTCAGTTTTGGGATTTTTCATTATTTCAATTTTAAAATCTTAGATGTTTTATTTTTTTGACGTTTCGATTTCTCGCTTTAAAATTTTTCAGTTTTTCATTTTTTCGATTTTTAAAATTTTTGATTTTTCGGTTTTAAATTTTTTGAATTTTCAGTTTTTCGAGTTTGGGCTATTTCGATTTAACAATTTTCGATGTTCGATTTCTCAAATTCTCACTTTTGCGATTTTTCGACATTTCAGTTTTGGGATTTTCGATTCTCGATTTCTCGAATTTTTAAATTTTTGATTTTTTATGTTTTGATGCTTCGATTTCTCGATTTTTCAACTTCTTGCTTTTGGATTTTTCAGTTTTTGATTTTTTCGATTTATCAGTTTTGGGATTTTTTAACTTTTCAAGTATCCAATTTTTCCATTTTTTATATTTTAGATTTTTCGATCTCTCGCTTTGTTTTTTGATTTTATAGTTTTTCGATTTTTTGATGTTTCAATATCTCAATTTAAATTTTTTTAATATGTATTTTAATTTTCAATTTCTTGATTTTTTATTTTTCCATTTCTTAATTTTTTTTTATTTAAGAAAACGAAGTTTAGTTTTTCAATTTTTCACTTCTTCAGTTTTTCAGTTGACGATTTTTCAGTTTTTAATTTTTTTGTTTCTTCAATTTTTAGATTTTGCAATTTTTCGACTGAAAATTTCTTGAGTTAATTTTTTAATTTTCCGAGATTTTAATTTTTCATTCATTCAAATTTTTTATTTTTCGATGTTCCAATTTTATAATTTTTTGTTTTCTCAATTTCAATTTTTTAATTTTTTTTTGTTTCTTCAATTTCACGATATACAAGTCTTCTACAGTTTTAATTTTTAAATTTTTCAGTTTTTCGATTTTCCAACTTTTGGATTTTTCAATTTTTCGATTTGCACTTTCTTGAGTTTTCAATTTTTAATTTTTCAATTTTACGATTTTCATGTCAATTTTTCGTTTGTTTTAAATTTTAGATGTTTCGATTTTTTAATTTTTCGATTTTTCAGGTCTTCGATTTTTCAATTTTTCGAATTTATAAATTTTCGACATTTTATTTTTTAATGTTTCGATATATCTCGATTTTTCAACTTCTCGCTTTTAGATTTTTCAGTTTTTCATTTTTTCGATTTTTCGGTCTTAAATTTTTCGAATGTTTTTCGATTTTTCGATCTTTGAATGAACGTTTTGAGTTCTCGAATTCTCGGTATTGTGATTTTCCGACATTTCAGTTTTGGGATTTTTCAATTTCACGATTTTTCAGTTATCCAATTTTTTCATTATTTAAGTCTTAGATATTTCGATTTCCCGCTTTGTTTTTTTTTTACTTTTTAATTTTTTGGATTTTTAAAATTTTTATGTTTTCAATTTTTTTGATGTTTCGATTTCTCAATTTTTATTTTAGCATTTCTTAATTTTTTTATATTTATATATTACATTAGATTTTTCAGTTTCATGATTTTTCATTTTTTCTTGGCAATTTTTCCAGTTTTCATTTTAAATATGTAATAATAATTACGATTTTTAAAATTTTTCACTTCTTCAATTTCAAGATTTTAGAATTTTTGTTTTTCAATTATTGGATTTTAAAACTTTTTCATTTATTTTACTTTTGAATTTTTCATTTCTTCAAATTTTCGGTTTTTTATTTTCTTTCTTTTTACAATGTTCCGATTTTATAATTTTTTGTTTTTCAATTACGATTTTTTAAATTTTTCGTTTTTAAATTTTTCAGTTTTTCAGTTTTCTAACTTCTGGATATTCCAATTTGTAGATTTTGCGATGTTTCGATTTGCAATTTTTTGTTTCGATTTTTAATTTTCTTTGTTTCTCAATTTTACGATTTTTGAATTTTAAACTTTTTTAATAAATAATAGATTTTTCAGTTTTTCGATTTTTAATTTTTCAATTTCTCGATATTTAATTTACTCCATTTTCTCGACAATTTTGCCGATTCTATAATTTTTCGATTAATTTTTTTTTAATTTTTACTTTTTCAATGCTTCAGTTTTTCATTTCTTCAATTCTTGGATTTGCAATTTTTCGTTTTTTTCAGTTTTTCGAGTTTTCCATTTTTTCCGATTTTCCAACTTTTCGAATGGAATAATTGCAAAACTGAAAACTCAAAAATGAAAAAACTGAAAACTATAAAAAATCTAAAAACTGGAAATTCCAAAAATAGAAAAATCGAAAAAATGCAAAAACGAAATGTCTTGTAAAATCAAAATATTGAAAACTAAAGAAAAAGGAAAATCGGATAAATAGAAATCCAAAAATCGCAAAATTGAAAAATTCAAAACTTGGAAAATGGAGGCCTCATTAAGAATTCAGAGTGGAATTATTAGGCAAAATTTTGAGATGACGTCATCAGTTTTTTGGACGGGGATAAACGAATCAATTTTGATTAACGATTGATTTGTCATGATTACGATGACTTTAAAACGTTTGCAAGATTTCAGTTTTGCATTTTCAACGTTAAATTACAAAATGTTATTTTACAATTTTGATTTTTTTTCTTTTCAAAAATTTGGACGTCTAGGGTGAAACTCAACACGGATTCATACACCACAAATGCAGAAGTATCTCATTTTATAAAATTAAAAAATAAATAGTACCACCTGTGATAACACTCGATCCAGTTGTCCATCGGTGTTCTCCAGCGTCTCCTGCAACTTATACGTAAGCGCCGCCACGCAACTAAAATGCCTATACTTCGTGGCAATCTTGTGACACTTCTTCAACTCAATAATCGCCCCCGCGTAATCCTCCTCACTCAAAAGCACCTGCAGCCTCTGATCAAAACTATGCTAAAACATAACCTCAAAAACCACCGTCAACATAACCTCAAACCTTACCAGATGTTTAATCATCTTCAAGTTATTGAGCAAATTCTGCGCCAACTTTCGCTTCCGGTAGTTAGCCAGAAGCCCCAAACACGCCTTAAACTGATTCGCGGCCACATTTAGGTGCTTCCTGCTCTCTTTACACTGATCAAGAGTGTCTTTCACTTGCTCCAGAATCTCCAGAACCTTTTCGAACTCGTCGTTGCAGCCGCTTTGGTGCTCTAGAATCAACTGGAGGACTTTCTTCGACACGACTTGGTGTTGTTGCTTGAGGTTTTTGAAGTCGCGCTGGATTTGGTCGCAGTCTAGGACCTCTGGGAGCTTCTGAAAAGTGCGGGTCTTAGTTTTTTGGTTGACTACGACTGAAGGTTTCACCCCTAGTTCGAATCTACAAATGTCGAAGTCCTCCTTCATGGAAAAATAGGCGGCTTCGATGCTCTCTAGAATTTCTTGATCGGCGGGTCTGTCTGTCTCCGCCACCGTTTTACTGTTAATGGAGAGGTTCTCGGTTTGGGGGAAGTGGTAATTGGCGTCGGAAAACCCCATCGACGGGATTTTCGGGGACTGAAACGTGACGTCAGAAGGGGGCCCTCGGGAGTCACAACTCACCTGTTTGCTGATTAGACCGAGAATTTTGTGCTTCAGCTCGTCCATCTTCGCACAATTAGCACTCAACTGTGAAACCGTGATTAGAATAATAAATATTTATTTACATCCATAACCATACATAAACCAGTGTCAGATTTGACGTTTGCGTGGCAGGCCATCTGTCATGTGTCAAAGAAGTTTGACATGTTGGTAGCAATGCAGGTGCCTGTAGTGACCGCACGTCGATTTTTATTGTAATTTGGCAAAAAAAGCCCTCCGGTGTGACGTTTCGTGTGTTTTCAGACAAGATTTACCGCGTGTTGATTTTTATCGTCGAGGTTAATCTCGTTTGGAATGAAATGCCCGACGTAGATGGCGCCGCTGTCGCCGTTTTCTGAATGAACAAATCAAGAAGGCCGAGTTAAGATGGCTGCCTGAATCGATAACACTATTATCGAATATTTCTCGTGTAATTGGTGCTTTCGGGGCCCCCAGAAGCCCCCATAGTGTGTAAAACCGAGTGGTCTGTTTAGTGCGCCGTCGGAGCGTGTGAAATCCGCCGCCAACTTGGCCGCCTCCGCCAAACACGGCCACCTTTTATTTATGATGTAGCGACAGCTTGAGGTAAGTCGGAGATTCGGGGCCCTTGGGGCTCCCTCGACGCCGCCGAGCCGATTTTCGGACGCCAGACGCTCGTTTGTTTGCGCCGCTAATTATCCCGATTGACAAGTTAATTGTTATGTATACAGTCGGCGGCGGGGTGGGGGTGGATTAACGGGTTAATTTGTTAATGATTGCGTGCGCGGGCCGTTGACGGCCCTTTGACGGGCCGTTTGCGGCCGCTTTGATCCGATCCAGTAGGCGGATTTCCGCCGTTAATTGTTACGGTAATGCTGCCGTCTTTTGTTCGAGTGGAAGTGGCGAAGGTGTCATCACTCGGATTTTATGGGACGACGTAAAAATAAACAAGCTCGTTAAAATGTCGTTTCATCATCAAGTCGCTTAAATTGATCGTTTGGCGAGCTATTGATTTTTCGTTTAATCACGTCGTAAAGCGTATTTTCGTCAAGGACGGGCTTTCGAAACGAAAAAACACAGATTGACAGGCGGAAATGCCGCACTGACCTCACGTAATTGACAATCAAGGGGGCGATTAGCGGCAATGGCGCCGGAGGGGAGGCGCGCCGCCGCTAACGCGAAGGAGGGGCGCAATGGCGCTGCAGGGGAGGTAAATGTAATGGGCGTAATTACCGCACTTTGCACTTTTCCGACTCCGGATTATCGCAAATTCCATACGAACATTTGAATAACTTTCACTAATCTGGCTACTCCGTAACCGCAAGAGGCTGCAAGTATTTACTTGTTTTTACTATCGTTGTTGTTGTAAATATTCTCCCTTGTTTCTCTGTGTTGTATTGGAAATTTTTAATGTATTTTTTATTCGACAGATAAAAACAGTGTCTTCTACCCGCCCATTCAAATCCGCATACAGTATTTTAGTTCTTTTTCCGTTCTCATTTAAGTGTTTATCATCCTCACGAAAAATTACTAAGCGTATCTTCTTTCAACAATTATAACATGCATGCAGAATTGGGGCGTCTTTATTTCTAAGACATTTTTATTGGTTGAACAGGTTATAGACGTGTGTTTGTTTTGAATGTTACATGTTTACCGAACAGATGGAGCGATTACATGCGGGATGTTTTAAAACATACAAGTCCATCTGTTCGGTAAACGGTTTAGACCGGACGCTATTTTTCCAATTCCGTTAAAGTTTAACCGGTGTTGTAAGTCTTGATATTTCTATTTCTAGCCGACGGCTTCGGGTGTTTATCTTTTCGAAAATCGTGTCATTCATTATTCATTCGTGTTATAAATCGCTAATGGCGAACTTAATAGATCCTTAAATCCACACCAGCACTTAGCGTAACGGTGCCCAGCGGCGGCGCTCTAATTAAAAGATACGTGTAATTTAGAGGCCTCGCGTGAGGATTAAATCGTTTTCTTATTTTTCCAGAAACATGTAATTACTGGTACGGCTAAAAAATAATGGCTACGACACAAGGAGAGATTAGGGTGGGTCCCGGCAACCAGGTAAAAGATATTTATGTACGTGAGACCGACAACACGGTAACCGTCAAAATTTTTTTCGAAATTAGGGCCGCTTCTAGACGTGCCGTTTACCGTTTTTGGGGTTGCTGAGGCACGTCTGGATTCGGCCGTACTATTGGCATGTTCTCTTGGCGAAATTGCACGACTTTTGGGGTACTTGGTTGTATGTATAAATCGAGCATGTTGGTAGAACTGGTTGGAACTTACTAAAGACGTAACTGCAACCAGACTTACTACTGCGATAGTACTTGTAGTACTTGTATATATACCCCTGCCAGTGTTCCATCCCCACCAATTTTCGACGATCCTGTAGATGTCTTGTTTTGGACTTAAGTACTACTCTTGTTGTCGGCCTACTCTGTTCTCCGCTTCCCTTTTATTACCAAACGTAGTCTTTTTGGAACATCCCAATCTAATATCGTTCGGACATCAGGCGCGACTACCGGAGTACAGACCAGGTGTGTCCCCGGAATTACTGTCCCCAGACCCGGAACAGACGCGTATTAGAGAAGAGTTACGATGGGTGCCTGCCATGACACTAGATTCGGACCTGGTGATGTACCTAAGGGCGGCCAGATCGATGGCCGCCTTCGCCGGGATGTGTGACGGGGGCTGTCCCGAAGACGGCGCTAACGCGGCTTCGAGAGACGACACTACCATTAACGCTTTAGACGTGGTACGTTGGCGTCGATCGACCAGACCACAAAATCATCTCGATGCTTTCAGCTTCACGACTCAGGGTACGACCCCGGGAAGGCCTTGCAAGCCCTAGTTAAGTGCCCGGTGCCCAAAGGTATCGACAAGAAGTGGAGCGAAGAGGAGACGAAACGTTTCGTAAAAGGACTGAGACAATTCGGCAAGAACTTCTTCAGAATCAGGAAAGACCTGTTGCCGCATCGAGACACGGTAAGTTCGCTTTGTCACCCGCTTCGTGTTAACCACGACACGGTTGCAGCCCGAACTGGTCGAATTCTACTACTTGTGGAAGAAAACCCCGGGCGCCAACAACAACAGACCCCACCGCAGGCGGCGCCAAGGCTCCTTGAGGAGGATCCGCAACACCCGAAACAGCAGAGGAGGTAATAACCCGCCCCCGGTCACAGGTAAGCCCCTCCCACTTGACTCGATCGTTTGAATCACGGTGAGTGCAGGACGCACCGGCGCCCCGGCTGAGACCGACAGCAGCCGCCCGAGTCCACAACCCGGCAAAGAGCCGGGCGAAACCAGCTCAGTCACCGAGGACGACAACTCAGAGGATGACAGCGACAGTCGCGAGGCCCAATACCGTTGTTCGCACTGCTTCACGACCAGTAAGTACCGCCCCTAGCCACGCCCTCTCTCACTCGCGCGGTTGCAGATTCCAAGGATTGGCAAACCGGCGGCAAAGACCGCCAACTCCTCTGCTGGGATTGCCGCGCCCACTTGAAGAAAACTAACGAGCTGCCGCCGCTGACGGCGCCGGCTGCGATTAGCGGCACGCCCCCGATCGGTGAGTCACACTAATACGACTAAACGCACTATTGACCAATGGTTGCAGAGAGCCCCGACGCCAGTCCGCAGCGCATGCGCACGCGCAACAAGGCGGCCAAAGAGCAGACCTCGAACCGGGCGCGCCCTAAAAGAGGCGGCACCGAAACGCCCGAGCCGAAAACGCCGGTCAAGCAAGCCAATACGAACAGTCCGATGGATAAAGCCGCGCCCAACCCGGCCACGCCTGCCAAGAAGAAGGGGAAGGCGGAGACGCCGTCGAAGAACCGCAAACGGGGTCAGGATAAGACGGACGAGCCCGAAGCGGACGAGAAGGAGTTGGGGTTGTTCAAGAAGAAGAGGGAGCGGGCGGAGAGTCCGTCGAGCGTGACGACGGACTCGGGCTCGATTAACGACGACGTGGAAGCGAACGAGCCGGAGCCGGAGAGCGTGGAAGCGACGGTGACCACCACCCCGACCACGACGACGACGACGACGACCGAAAGCGCGAAACCCAAGCCCGAGAGTGAAGAAAAGCTAGTGCCGCCCACGGTTCCGGTGATCGTGTCAGCCAAAGCGCCGCCTCCGACGGAGCCGCTCCCGTTGAACGTCTCGATACGACTACCCGACGACATCAACGAAAGGAAGAGTTTGATTAAGAGCGGCCCCGAGGTGAAGGAGTTGAAGTTCGGGGAGGTGAAAAAGGAGACCGTGAAAGCTGAACCTTTGGTGAGCAAACCCGAGGAGAAAGTGAAAGAGGAGGTTATTAAGGAAGTCCCGGAGAAGTTCAAGACGGAGTTGATTATTCCGAAGGTGGTGACTATGGATAAGGTCATCATCAAGGAGGAGATGGAGTCGAGTAACGAGGCGCTCAATTTGAACTCCAAGGAGGATAGTGTGTATAAGGAGAACGTTTTCGCGCCGCAGAATATGATGAAGGATCAGATGAACAATTTTAGTTTGAAGGAGCCGATTTTGAATCATTATCCGCAGGGGAATCACCCGTTGAATTTGAAGGACACGCAGCAGGTGGAGAGGGGGAAGGAACAGATCGTGAACATGAATCATTCGTTCATTAAGGATTTGAAGCAGGAGCCGAATTACGGGTACGGGCAGAATAAGCCGACGCAGTTGACGCATCCGATGAACAACGTGATCAAGTTGGAACCGAGGGATGAACCTATGGAGTTGACGAGTCAGACGAGAGGGGAGAACTTCGTCCCAAGCAACCCCCAGAATCAGCCGTCGCCTCTGAATATACCGACGGTGATACCTTCCACGTTGCCTCCGACGAGTAGCACTAGTCGACCGAATGACTACGAAGAAGAGAAACGGGTGGAGAAGTTGGAGCGTCCGGAGCGGTTGGACAGACCGGAGAGGACGGACTTGGGTCCTATCACTTCCACTTCCATTGGGCAACCGCCGCTTCCTAATTTGATGCAATCTAGTAACTTGGTGACGATCGGGGGTAGCCAACCCCCGATGAGTCACTACGGTTTCATGAACTATAATCATCCTCAGTCGCCGCGGAATCATGATAAAAGTAGTCATCAGACTAGCCAGAATGAGCCTCAAAATCTTAAGATTAAGCAAGAGATTCCGGATCCTCCTTCCAGTCAGAGTTCGCTGCCGCCGTCTCATTACGCACAACCTTTGCCGCCTTCGTCCACGTCTACTTTCATTCCCCCAGCATCTAGTCACTTGCAGAACGCCGACCCCCTTCAGAGTTTAAAGGACGTAAAAGTGCCCGGGTACTTACCGACGCCGCCTCAGGCCCCGCCCACTGCCGAACGCCCCCCGTCGGGCCCCACCGTCGAAAACATCAAAAAAGAGCCTGAATTCGCCATGGCGCCTCCTACTAGTCGCGCCAGCCCCGCCCAACTCCCCTCCGAGAAGTGTTCCACGCCCAAAACCACGACCACGCCCACTCCAGTCGCGCAAACACCCCCCGGAACCAACTCCCCCCACTCCGCGATTAATCTGATTAGCCCGAGCGCGGGGGCCCCGCCTTCCACGATACCCCAGCCGATGCACCCGTCGCAAACCCAAGGCCCCGCCTACCCGGGATCGTTGCACCCGTCGCACCTCATGCACCCGTCTTTCCTGCACGCCATGCACCAATTCCACACCCATCCCTACTCGGGCTACTCCTTCCCCTATCCCTACCCCTACCCCGTGCCCCAGCCGCACGCCATCCCGCCGCCCTCCACCCGCCCCGAGATCTCCAAGACCATCGACACGGTCAGCGCGACTGTCCTCTCCAGCCAGCACACCTCCAGCAGCACCATGACCACGAAGCGCGAGATCCGCGAGAACGACGGCGAGGGCGCCGAACGACACGCCACCCACGAGATGACGCTCACCCACCACCAGTCGACCTCCCACCACAGCTCGGTCCACGCCAGCAGCGAGAAGCAGAGCTACGGCGGCGGTTCTAGTCATTCGATCACGATCAGCCACTCGACGAGCACGAGCTCGAGCCAGTCGGTCCAGCACAAGGTCAACCAGAAGACGGTGCGCACGAGCTCGCCGCACACGCCGGTCTCGCAGCAGCAGGCGACGGCGACGGCCAACATCAACCACTCGACGTCGACGTCGAACCACCAGCACACGCACCACCACACCCACCACCACGACCGGCTGTCGCCGGCCAACTCGCTGCTGCGCATGCACAAGGCGCCGCCCCCGCCGCAGAACAACGCGCATCATCTGATGATACAGCCGCCGAGCATGGGCCACCACCCGCAGCCGCTGCCGCCGCCGGCGCTGACGGGCAACAGCTCGCTGGACGCGCTGCGGGCGCACGCCGCGCAAGCGGCGGCCAATATGCAGCAGGGGGCGATGCATCCGCCGAGCACGTCGCCGATGAGCGCGCCGCCGCCGAAGGCGCCGCCGGTCGAGGAGATCAAAGTGGAGCCGGAGCCGGAGCCGGTGCCCGAGGACGAGGGGCAGACGAGCCCGATCGGCCCGCCGAGGGGGCCGTCGCCCGAGCCGAGGGTCGAGGACACGGAGTGCCACAGGAGTCAGTCCGCCATGTGAGTATCGTAATGGGTGGTCAAAAATAAAATTCGAAAATTCAAAATAATTTTTCGAAAAATATGGATGGTCTTCCACCAATTTTTTTAATATCACAATTTTTGGTTTTTGAAGTATTTCATTTTATACTTCTTGTTTTTTTTTTGTTTTTTTTTTTTTTCATTGTTGACCTTTCAGTTTTATAATTTTTGCATTTGTTGAAAAATCGAACATTGAAAAATTAAAAAACTAAAAAATTGGAAAATCAAAAAAGTGGAAAAGTCTAAAAATTGCCAATCGAAACACTTGAAAGAGTGAAACATTAAAGAACTAAAAATCGAGAAACTTAAAAAATGGAAAAAAAATTGAATGGAAAAGTTATAGACTCTTGTAACATTGAAAGATCGAAAAATTGTAAAATGAAATATTGAGAAAATTAAAAACGAGTGAATAAATGAAAAAGTTTAAAAATTCAAAATTGAAAAATGGAAAAAATCTACAACTGTAAAATTGAAAAATTATAAAAATTATAATTACATTTTTGATTTATTTAAAATGAAAACGAAAAAAATTGACAATCAAAAATCGAGGAACTGAAAAACCTAAAATTGAAAAAACCAAAAATTTCACAGTGAAAACACTTAATCAGAACATTTAACGGAGAAAAATTGAAAAAAAAATAAAGAAGGTAAAAAACCGAAACGAAAAGTTGAAAAATTAAAAGTTCGAAAACTCACAAAATTTTAATCAAAAATTGCAAAAACGAAAAAATGGAAAGTTAAAAATTGAGCACTTGAAATTTTATTTCGAAAAATGCAAAATCTAAATTGTTGAAAATAAAAATTGAAAAAACAAGAGTCAATAATTCAAGAAATAAAGAAAATAAAAAACCAAAACGAAAAATTGCAAATTGGAACATTGAAGAATCGAAAAACTGAGAAATCTTAAAATGAAAAATTGCGCATAAAAAAATTGAAGAAAGAAAAATTTTAAAAATTGAAATTGAAAAAAACAAAAAATTATAAAATCGGAATATTGAAAAATCGAAAAATTGTGAAAAAAAGGAAACTAAAACCAAAACGAAAAATTGCAAATCAAAAAATTGAAGTTTTGAAAAATTAACTGAAAAATTGAAAAATCCATAAGTTGGAAAAATGTAAAAAAAAAAATTGAATAATCGTGAAATTTTAAATCGAAAAATTGCAAAATCGAAAAATTGTGGAAACAAAAAAAAAACGAAAAAAGGCAATTCGAAAAATCGAACAAATTAATATTGAAAAAACAAAACAAAATAATTGAAGAAATAAAGAAAATAAGAAACCAAAACGAAAAATTGTAAATTGCAAATCTAAAAATTGAAACATCTGAAAGTTGGAAAATCGGATTAACTGAAAAACCTTAAAATAAAAAACTGAAAAATTGCACATCAAAAACTGAAGAACGGAAAAATTAAAAAAATTGAAATTGAAAAAACAAAAAATTATAAAATCGGAACATTGAAAAAGGGAGTAAAACCCAAAACGAAAAATTGCAAATCGAAAATTTGAATTTTTGAAAAATCAACGGAAAAATTAAAAATTTATAGTTGAAAAAATAAAGAAAATAAAAAATCGGAAGGAAAAATTGCAGTTCGAGAAATAAACAAATCAAAAATTGAAAAATCCGAAAATTGAAACATTTCACATTGAAAAAAGAAGAAATCTGAACATTTAAAAACTGAAAAATTGCAAAATCTAAAAATTCAAAAAACAAAAAATAGTTCAAATGAAAAAACAAATGGTTAAAAAAAATCAATAAACTGAAGAATCTAAAAAATAAAAATACAAAAAAATCACAAATCGAAAACCTGATAACACGAAAATTTAAATCGAAAAATTGCAAAATCTAAAAATTGAAGGAACAAAAAAATGAAAAATTGAAAAAACAAAAAATAAATAATATAAGAACTGAAGAATCGAAAAATTGAAAACTCGTAAAATTTCATATCTAAAAATTGAAACATCTAAAAGTCGGATAATCGAAAAATTGGAAAATTTTAAAATTAAAAATTGACAAAAATTGAATAAACGAAAAATTAAAAAAAAAATAAATTGAAGAAAGAAATTATAAAACCGGAACACGGAAAAGTCGAAAAATTGCAAAAATAAAGAAAATAAGAAACCAAAATGAAAAATTGAAAAAAATTAAAATTGGAAAAACAAAAAATAAATAGTTGAAAAAGTAAAGAAAAAATAAACCGAAACGAAAAATTTAAAAATTTCACATTGAAAAAAAGAAAAATTATACAATCACAACATTTAAAAACCGAAACGAAAAATTGCTAATCAAAAAATTGCAAAATCTAAAAATTGAAACTTCCAAAACTTGGAAAATGGAAAAACTGATAAAATTTCAAAACAGAGTTACATTTCGTAAAATTGAAGAGACAAAAAATTGAAAAAACAAAAAATTGGGAAATCGGAAAACTACAAAGTCGAAACATTGAGAAACTGATAAACTGAAAATCTAAAAGGTAAAAAAATGAAAGATGATTGAAAAATTTTTTAAATTACAAATCGAAACTTAAAAATTTGAAAGCAGAAAAATTTAAAAATTGACAGAACAAAAAACGCAAATCAAAAATTAAAATCCAGAAACTGAAAAATCGAAAAATAGAAAACATCCAAAACTGAAAATTCGACGAATTTTATATCGAAAAATTGCAAATAAAAAAAAATAAAAATCTCATTCAAAAAAACGGAAAATTGAAAATACAAAAAGTTGTTAATTGAAAACTTGAAGGATCGAAAAATTGAGAAGTTAGAAATTGAAAACTCGTGAAATTGCAAATACAAAGTAAAAGTTGGAAAATCGTAAAACTGAAAAAATTTAAAATGAAAATTCAAAGATTGCACATCGAAACATTGGCAATTGAAAAAACCAAAAACTGAAAAATTTTTTATTGGAAAAAGAAAAATTATACAACCAGAACATTTAAAAAGCGAAAAATGGAAGAAATGAAAATTTTGAAAAAAACAGAAATTTGAAAATTTTTAAACTTGAAAACTCGTGAAATTTCTATTTAAAAAATTTCAGAATCTCAAAATTTAAACATCCAAAAGTCGGAAAATCAAAATACTAAGAACTTTTAAGATGAAAACTCGAAGTTGCATGTCGTAAAATAAAGTCGAAAATTGCACGAAAAATTGGAAAATCGGAAAACTACAAGTCGAAACATTGAAAAACCGAAAAAAAATAAAAATCATTGAAAAATGTCGAAATTATAACATTAAAAAGTTGAAAAATTTGAAAAAATCTAGAAACTGAAGAATCTAAATGAAAAAAAAAAAAATCGCAATTTGAAAAATTTTAAAAACCAAAAAAACAAACCGAATGCCTGTTGATATGAAAATTAAAAAATGGGAACATTTTATAATTCTTGAAACTGAAAATTCTAAATTTGAAAAGTTCAAACGGCCGAAAAATTATTAAATTGTGAATTGAAACGGAATAATCTAAAAATTGACATAAAAAAAAAACGCAAACGAAAAATTAAAGTCGAGAAACTGAAAGATCGAAAAGCAGAAAAATTAAAACTTCAAAAATTTTAAATCGCAAATTCTAAAAATTGAAATTGAAAAAACAAAAAATTATAAAATCGGAACATTGAAAAGTCGAGAAATTGTAAAAATAGATGGAATAAAAGGCATGGAAAAATTGAAAATTAAAATTAAAAAAACAAAAAATTAATAATTGAAAAAGTAAATAAAATAAAAAAGCCAAACGAAAAATTGAAAAATCTCAAAGCTGAAAACTTTTTGAAATCTTAAATAAAAAAATTCAAAAAACTGAAAAACTTGAAATTGAATAAACAAAAAAGTATTAAATCGGAACATTATAAATCGGATAAACTGAAAAATCTTAAAATGAAAAAACTGAAAAATTGCACATTGAAAAATTGAAGAACGGAAAAATTAAAAAAATTGAAATTGCAAAAACAAAAAATTATAAAATCGGAACATTGAAAAAAGGAAAAGGGAGTAAAAACCAAAACGAAAAATTGCAAATCGAAAATTTGAATTTTTGAAAAATCAACGGAAAAATTGAATTATAGTTGAAAAAATAAAGAAAATAAAAAACCGGAACCAAAAATTGCAGTTCGAGAAATAAATAAGTCAAAAATTGAAAAATCGAAAAATTGAAACATTTCACATTGAAAAAAGAAAAAATCTGAACATTTAAAAAGTGAAAAATTGCAAAATCTAAAAATTCAAGAAACAAATAAATGAAAAATTGAAAAGTCACAATTCGAAAGAACGAAAAATAGTTAAAATTAAAAAACAAATAAAAAAATATCGATAAATTGAAGAATCTAAAAAATAAAAATACAAAAAATCACAAATCCAAAACCTGATAACACGAAAATTTAAATCGAAAAATTACAAAATCTAAAAATTGAAGGAACAAAAAAATGAAAAATTGAAAAAACAAATAATATGAGAACTGAAGAATCGAAAAATTGAAAACGCCTGAAATTTCATATCTAAAAATTGAAACATCTAAAGGTCGAAGAATCGAAAAATTGGAAAATTTTAAAATTAAAAATTGACAAAAATTGAAAAAACGAAAAATTCTAAAAATTAAAATTGAAGAAAAAAATTATAAGAAAAATAAGAAACCAAAATGAAAAATTGAAAGAAATTAAAGTTGGAAAAACAAAAAATAAATAGTTGAAAAAGTAAAGAAAAAAATAAACCGAAACGAAAAATTTTAAAATTTCACATTGAAAAAAAGAAAAATTTTACAATCAACATTGAAAAACCCAAAACTTGAAGAAATAAAGATAATAAAAACCCGAAACGAAAAATTGCTAATCAAAAAATTGCAAAATCTAAAAATCGAAACATCCAAAACAGAAAATGGAAAAACTGACAAAATTTAAAAACTGAGTTACATTTCGTAAAATTGAAGAGGCAAAAAATTAAAAAAACAAAAAATTGCAAAATGAAAGTCCAGAAATAGAGAAGTCTATAATGGTACGAAAAATTGGAAAATCGGAAAACTACAGAGTCGAAACATTGAAAAATTGATAAACTGAAAATCTAAAAGGTAAAAAAATGATAGATGATTGAAAAATGAAGAAATTGTAACATTAAAAAGTTAAAAAAAAAATCACAAATTGAAAAATTTTAAAAACCGAAAAACAGATCGAAGACGTGATGACACGAAAATTGAAGGATCGAAACATTTTAAAATCGGGAATCTGAAAAATTCAATGACTGAACAAATTTTTAATTACATATCGAAACTTAAAAATTGGAAAGCAAAAAAATTTAAAAATTGACAGAACAAAAAACGCAAATCAAAAATTAAAATTGAGAAACTGAAAAATAGAAAAATGGAAAAATTCCAAACCTGAAACCTTTAAAATTTCAAATCGAGAATTCTAAAAATTGAAATTGAAAATTCGACGAATTTTAAGTCTAAAAATTGCAAATCAATAAATTGAAAGAACAATAAATGAAAAATCTCATTCGAAAAAACGGAAAATTGAAAAAACAAAAAGTTATTAACTGACAAATTGAAGAATCGAAAAGTTGAAAAGTTAAAAATTAAAAACTCGTGAATTGCAAATCTAAAGTAAAAGTTGGAAAATCGTAAACCTGGAAAATTTCAAAAATGAAAAATTGAAAGATTGCACATGGAAAAATTGACTAACCAAAACATTGAAATTGAAAAAACAAAAAATTATAAAATTGGAACATTGAAAAATCGGAAAATGGTAAAATTAAAGGGAATAAAAATTAAAAAACGAAAAATTTGAAGATTTGAGAAATTAAAGGAAAAATTGAAAAATCGCAAACCAAAAATTAAAATCGAGAAACTGAAAAATCGAGAAGCAGTAAAATTCCAAAGCTGAAAACTTAAAAATTTTAAATCCCAAATTTTAAAAATTGAAAAAATCGAAATTGAAAAACAAAAAATTATAAAATTGTAAAAATTAAGGGAATAAAAAACCAAAACGAATTGAAGATATGAATAATTGAAAAATTGCAATTCGAAAAAACGAAAAATTGAATAAATTAAATTTGAAAAAAAAAAATAATTGAAAAAGTAAAGAAAATAAAAACCGGAACGAAGAATTGTAAAACAAAAAATTGGCTAAAAAAATAAAAATGAAACAAATGAAAAATTGAAAAACCCAAAATTTGAAAAAATAAAAATTGAAAACTCGTGAAATTGCTAATCGAAAAACGAGAAAAAAATTTAAATGAAAACTCGGAACAATAGAATGTCGTAAAATTGAAGAAGCGAAAAATCGAAAAAACTGATTTTGAAAAAAATATGAAATAGTGAAATTGAAAAATAGAAAAGTTCTAAAAATGAAGAAAATAAAAAACCAAGACGACACATTGCCAATCGGAAATTTAAAGAAATAAAATATTAAAGAATAAAAAAATTGAAAAAATTAAAATTATTAAAAAACAAAAAATCGTAAAACCGAAACGAAAAATTCCAAATCAAAAAATCAAAAAAAATTGAAAAATCCCGAAATTGATAACTCGAGAAACTCTAATCGAAAAATTTTCAAAGGGGAGGGAAATTCTGTCGAAATAACCTTCGACCACTTTTTTAGTTTGCTCAGGTGTTAGCTTCTCCCACCCCCACCCCCCACCGAAAGTAACCCTTAACTATATGACTTTATTTAATAAAAACACAAATTTTTTGTGAGATAGTGGTTCTAGCTATGGGATTAATGAGATAATTTACTAATAATAATAATAATACTCAATGGACATTGTTTTACATTTCAGATTTTTGCGCCACTGGAACCGCGGCGATTACAACTCGTGCACGCGCACCGACCTCACCTTCAAGCCCGTTCCCGACTCCAAGCTGGCGCGCAAGCGCGAAGAGCGCCTGCGCAAGCAGGCCGAGCGCGAGCGCGAAGAACGCGAGCGCGCCCAACAAGTACAAGCGCGCAAGATCACCACCCCCGAGAAGCCCGACATCAAACCACCCTCGCGGGGCCCCCTCGAGACCGTGTCCTCGCCCTACGAGCGCTTCCCGCGGCCCGGCTTCAACGACACCCCCGCGCTGCGCCAGCTGTCCGAGTACGCGCGCCCCCACGCCGGCTTCAGCCCGGGCCACATGCAGCGCTCGCTGCTGCCGCCCACGCACGTCATCGACCCCATCATGCAGTACCAGCTGAACAGCATGTACGGGCCGGGGGCGCGCGAGCGCCTCGAGCTGGAGCACCTGGAGCGGGAGAAGCGGGAGCGGGAGCTGCGCGAGATCAGGGAGCGGGAGATGAACGAGCGGATGAAGGAGGAGCTGATGAAGTCGGGGATCCGGGGGCCGCCGAACCCGATGGATCCGCACTGGATGGACATTCAGAGGAGGTGGTTGTGGTTCCGCGGTTAGGAACGAGTTGTATTGATTGGTAGGTTTGTCAGGTATGCCGCAGCGGGATTGGCTGGTCCTGGCGGTCCGGCGGGGCTTCCGCTTCACCATCTGGCGTTTTATCCGGGGGCGGGGAGCACGGCGCTGGACAGGGAGAGGCTGGAACGGCTGGGGATTCCGGCGCCTCCGGGACCACCAGGAGCGCCGCCAGGACACCCGCATCATCCCGCCCACGCCGCGCAGTTGGAGGCTGAGAGGATCGCTCTAGCCACGGATCCGATGGTACGTGTTAGAATAAAATTGTGGAGTAGGCCGTGGAATTTATTTTTTACATGATGATGTTGGCAACTCTTACGCATTCTTTGCTCAGTTTGACAGTTGTGATGAAATTGTCAAATAGCAGCAATGCCAACATCGTATCTCCCCCCACTATATTTTTTTATTTTGTAATCTGAAAATTTTAAATTTGCGAAGATTTTTTTTTAATTTTTAATATTTTCGATTTTTTGAAATTTTCCACTTATATTTTTGTTGATCTTTCAGTTGCAAAATATAAAATACTCGGAAAACATAACGATTTAATACTCGAAAAATTATTGTAAACTCTTAAAATCCAAAAGTTGAAAACTCGGAAAATTTTAAAATCAAAAATCGAAAAATTGCGGATTGCAAAAATTCAAAAGCAAAAAAATATTTGATTTTATTTTTAAAACTAAAACTAAAAAAAAATGTAAAATGAAAATCAAGAAACAAAAAATTGAAAAATCTAAAAAAACTTTGAAGTTGTAGAAGCAAAAAAATTATTGAAAAAAGTACAATATGTAGTTAAATGGAAGAAATTGAAAAATCTGAAAGTGGAAAAACCAAAAAGTATTGAAAAATGGAGAAATTGTCAAATCGAAAAGTCACAAAAATTGTGAAGCTGGAAAATTTAAAAGTCAAAATTCGGAAAATTTTCCAAAAAAAAAAATAAAAATCGTGCAATTGAAACATTTAAAACTATGAAAACTGCGAATTGAAAAATTGAAAAGTTAAAAATCTGAAAGATGTAATTTTTAAATCGAAAACTCAAAAAAATTGCGAAATTTGAAAATCAAGAAACTGAAAAATTGCACGAAAATTTTAAGAAAAGAAAAGTTGAAAGTCGAAATACTTCAAGAAGAAATTGAAAAATGTAAAAGTTGAAAAAACCAAAAGTTATTGAAAAATGGAAAAATTCTAAAATCGAAAAATTGAAAAATTCTAAAAATCAAGAAACCAAAGAATCTAAAAATTGGAGAAACAAAAAATTCAAGAATCGCAAAATTTAACAAATCGAGAAATTGAAAAATCTAAAGTGGAACAACCAAAAATTACTGAAAAACGGACAAATTTTGTGAAATCGAAAAATTGCTAGAAAATTCGAAGAAATGAAAAACTGAAAAATTCGAAAATCTGAAAATTGACATCTCGAAGAATTGCGGATTGGGAAATTCAGGAGCAGAAAAATATTTGATTTTTAAATCCAAAACTCAAAAAAAAATTGTAAAATGGAAATCAAGAAACAAAAAACATTGAAAAATTCTAAAATTGAAAAATTGGAGAAAGAAAAAATTGAAAAATCCAAAAAAAACTTTGAAGTTGTAGAAGCAAAAAAATTATTGAAAAATGGAGAAATTGTCAAATCGAAAAGTCACAAAAATTGAGAAGCTGGAAAATTTAAAAGTCAAAATTCGAAATAATTTTCAAAAAAAAATAAAAATCGTGCAATTGAAAAATTTTAAACTCTGAAAACTGCGAATTGAAAAATTGAAAAGTTACAAATCTGAAAAATGTGATTTTTAAATCGAAAACTCAAAAAAATTGCCAAATATGAAAATCAAGGGACTGAAAAATTGCACGAAAATTTTATGAAAGGAAAAGTTGAAATACTGAAAGAAAACATTGAAGAATGTAAATGTTGAAAAAACCAAAAGTTATTGAAAAATTGAAAAATTCTAAAAATCAAGAAACCGAAGAATCTAAAATTTGGAGAAACAAAAAATTCAAGAATCGCAAAATCTAACAAATCCAGAAATTGAAAAATCTAAAGTGGAACAACCAAAAATTACTGAAAAACGGACAAATTTTGTGAAATCGAAAAATTACAAGAAAATTCGAAGAAATGAAAAACTATAAAATTCGAAAATCTGAAAATTGCAAATCGAAAAATTGCGACTCGGACAATTCAAAAGCAGAAAAATGTTCTATTTTCTCAATTTTTGTAGTTTTTCGATTTGACAACCTGTCCATTTTCCAATAATTTTTGGTTTTTCAACTTTAGGTTTTTCAATTTCTAGATTTGTTCTAGTTTTCGATTTTTCAATTTTCGTTTCTTCAATTCTTCGATTTTATAACATACTTGTACTTTTTTTCAATATTTTTTTTTAATTTTTGGTTTTTTAGATTTTTCAATTTTTTGTTTCTTCAATTTTTCGACATGGCGTTTCTCGATTTTTCATTTTCTTGATTTTCATTTGCAATTTTTTGTGTTTTGGATTTAAAAGTCAAACATTTGTCTGTTTTCGAATTTTTGAATTTTTCGTTTCTTCGTATTTTCGGGCAACGTTTCGATTTAATACTATTAAATTTCCGACTTTCCAATTTTTATTCCTTCAATATTTCGATTTGACAATTAGTCTAATTTTTCAGTAATTTTTGGTTTTTCCAGCTTAGATTTTTCCATTTCTCGATTTCTTAAATTTTGCGATTTTTCAATAATTTTTTGTATTTGCAACTTTTGAATCTTCATTTTTTTTATTTACTTTTAGTTTCCCTATTTTTTAATTTTTCCTTTTTTCAGTTTCTTGATTTTCATTTTGCAATTTTTTGAGTTTTGGATTCAAAAATCGAACATTTTTCTGCTTTTGAATTGTCCAATACGCAATTTTTTGATTTGCAATTTTCAGATTTTCGAATTTTTCAGTTTTTCATTTCTTCGAATTTTCTAGCAATTTTTCGATTTCACCAAATTTGTCCGTTTTTCAGTAATTTTTGGTTGTTCCACTTTTGATTTTTCAATTTCTCGATTTGTTAAATTTTGCGATTCTTGAATTTTTTGTTTCTCCAAATTTTAGATTCTTTGGTTTCTTGATTTTTAGGATTTTTCAATTTTTTTATTGTAGAATTTTTACATTTTTCATTAACTTTTCATTTTTTCAACTTTTACATTCTTCATGTTTTCTTTCAGTATTTCAACTGAAACTGAAATACTGAAAGAAAACATTGAAGAATGTAAAAGTTGAAAAAATCAAAAGTTATTGAAAAATTGAAAAATTCTAAAAATCAAGAAACCAAAGAATCTAAAATTTGGAGAAACAAAAAATTCAAGAATCGCAAAATTTAACAAATCCAGAAATTGAAAAATCTAAAGTGGAACAACCAAAAATTACTGAATAACGGACAAATTTTGTGAAATCGAAAAATTACAACAAAATTCGAAGAAATGAAAAACTAAAAAATTCGAAAATCTCGAAAAATTGCGGATTGGAAAATTCAAGAACAGAAGAATATTTGATTTTTAAATCTAAAACTCAAAAAAAAAATTGTAACATGAAAGTCAAGAAACAAAAAAAGTCGGAACATTGAAAAATTCTAAAATTGAAAAATTGGAGAAACAAAAAATTGAAAAATCAAAGGTGGAAAAAACAATTGTCGGAAAATGGACAAAATCTCAAATCGAAAAATTGAAAAATCGAAACCTAGAAAATGAAAACTCAAAAAATTGCGAAAAATTGAAAAAGTAAACAAAATAAAAAATCGAATCGAAAAATTGAAAAATCCAAAAATTTCACACTGAAAAAATAAACAATATAAAATCAGAATATTTAAAAGCAGAAAAATTGAAAAAATAAAAAACCGAAACGAAAAATTGAAGAACAGAGAAATTGAAAAAATTAAGAAAATAAAACACCAAGACGAAAAATTTAAATTTTTTATTATTTAAATATTAAATCCAAAAATTTCACACTGAAAAAAGAAACAATATAAAATCAGAATATTTAAAAGCAGAAAAATTGAAAAAATAAAAAACCAAAACGAAAAATTGAAACCCAAAAAATTGAAATCAAAAAAATTACAAAATCGAAAAATTGAAGAACAGAGAAATTGAAAAAATAAAGAAAATAAAAAACCAAGACGAAAAATTTAAATTCGAAAATATTAAAAGTTGAAAACTCGATAAACTCATTCCAAAAACTGCAAAATCGAAAAATTGAAAGTTGTAATTATTATTATATGTATTTAAAATGAAAAATAAGAAAATTGCAAATCAAACATTGAAACGAAAAATTGAAAAATCCAAACATTTCATACTGAAAAAAGAAACAATATAAAATCGGAATATTTAAAACAGAACAATTGAAAAAATAGAGAAAATAAAAAACCTAAACGAAAAATTGAAAAATTAAAAGTTGAAATCTTCTAGAAATTTGAAATCAAAAAATTACAGAATGGAAAAATTGGACGAACCAAAAAAATTAAAACTTGAAAACTAAAAACTCAATTCGAAAACTTATAAAATCTAAAAATTGAACAAACGAAAAATTGAAAACTTCGAAAATTGAAAAGTTTCACATTAAATAAAGATACATACAATCTTAATATTTGAAAACCGAAAAATCGAAAAAATTAAGAAAATAAAAACCGAAATGAAAACTTGGAGAATCAAAAAATTGAAAATGTTCACACCAACAAATTGAAAAAACAAAAAGTTATAAAATGGGAACATTGAAAAGTCGAAAAATTGTAAAAATAAAGTACATAAAAAACCAAAACGAAAAATGAAAAACTCGAGAAATTTTAAGTCGAAAAATTGCATTATCTAAAAATTGGGGGAACAAAAAAATCAAAAATTGAAAAAAACAAAAAAAATATAATTAAAAAAGTAAAGAAAATAAATAAAAGAAACGAAAAATTGATAAATCCAAAAACTGAAAAATTTCACACTGAAAAAATAAAAATACTACCAGAACATTTAAAAACCGAAAAATTAAAAAAACAAGGAAAATAAAAATTTTCCACTTGCAATTTTTTGACCTTTCAGTTGCAAAATTATAAAATACTCGGAAAATTATTGTCAACTCTTAAAATCCAAAAGTTGAATAGTCGGAAAATTTTAAAATCAAAAATCGAAAAATTGCACGAAAATTCGAAGAAACGAAAATATGAAAAATTCGGAAATCTGTAAATTGACATCTCGAAAAATTGCGGATTGGACAATTCAAGAGCAGAAAAATATTTGATTTTTAAATCCAAATCTCAAAAAAAAATATTGTAAAATGAAAATCAAGAAACAAAATAAGTCGGAACATTGAAAACTTCTAAAATTGAAAAATTGGAGAAACAAAAAACTGAAAAATCGAAAAATTGACAAATTCGCAAATAAAAAAATTGAAGGAATAAAAATTGGAAAATCGGAAATGTAGTAGTATTAAATCGAAAAGTTGCCCGAAAATACGAAGAAACGAAAAATTTAAAAATTCGAAAACAGACAAATGTTTGACTTTTAATTCCAAAATACAAAAAATTGCAAAATGAAAATCAAGAAAATGAAAAATCGGGAAACTCCATGTCGAAAAATTGAAGAAACAAAAATTGAAAAATCGAAAAAACCAAAAATTGTAAAAAACATATTGAAAAAAGTACAAGTATGTAGTAAAATCGAAGAATTGAAGAAACGAAAATTGAAAAATCGAAAACTAGAACAAATCTAGAAATTGAAAAATCTAAAGTGGAAAAACCAAAAATTATTGGAAAATGGACAGGTTGTCAAATCGAAAAATTACAAAAATTGAGAAGTCGGAAAATTCAAAAGTTGAAATCTCTTTAAAATAAAAACACGAAAATTTCAAGAAACGAAACATTAAAAAATCCAAAATTGGTAAATTACAAATTAAAAAAAAATCTTGCAACTGAAAAATGTGACTTAAATAGAAAACTAAAAAAAAATGCAAAATGGAAAAATTAAAATATCGGGAAACTAAAAAGTCGAAAAATGTTGAAACAAAAAATTGAAAAACCTAAAAAAATCTAAATTTATGGAAAAATGGAAAATTCTAAAATCTAAAATTGAAAGAACGAAAAATCACAAATCGAAAAATTAAAAAAAAAATAAAAATTGCAAATCGAAAACAGAAGAAACGAAAATTGAAGAAAAATCGGAAAAATAATAAACTGTCAACTGAAAAATCGAAAAATTAAAAAAATCAAAGATTGATCAATTTTTAAATTGTAAATCGAAACTTAGACATCGAGAAACTAAAAAAACCGAAAAATTGCTCGAAAATTTGAAGAAGCGAAAAATCAAAAAATCGTGATACTAAAAAGTCGAAAAAATTGAAAAATGGACCAATTGAAAAATAAAAAAAAAATGTAAAAGGTGAAAAATCTAAAAATTGAAAGAACAAAAATTCGCAAACTGAAAAATTGAAGAATTGAAAATGAAAAATTTTTAAATTGAAAGTCTAAACTTCACAAAAAGAGAGAAATTTCAGAAAATTGCACGAAAATTTGAAGAAACGGGAAACTGGAAAATCTGAAAGTTTAGAAAAACAAAAATTATGGAAAAATAGAGAAATTAAGATTCTAAAAATTGAAAGAACGAAAAAAAGCAAAAAATTGAATAGCTTAATAGGTTGAACAATTTTTAAATTGAAAGTCTAAACTTACTTATTGTACGAAAATTTGAAGACGCGAAAATTGAAAAATCGGAAATTAAAAAATTCAAAAACTGAACAATTTTTAAATTGTAAATCGAAATTAAAAATCGAGAAGCTAAAAAATCAAAAAATCGCACGAAAATTTGAAGGAGCGAAAAATTAAAAAATGGTGAAACGTAAAAGTTGAAAAATTCGAAAATCAATAAATTGAAAACTTGACGAAAGACTGAAAAAACATGAAATTGAAAAATTGAGAAACGAAAATCTAAAAGTTAAAAAAAACAAATTATTGGAAAATGAACAATTTAAAACATTTAAAAAAATGGAAAAAGTGAAAAATGTAAAAATTGAAAGGACAAAAAGTCGCAAACCGAAAAATTGAAGAATTGAAAATTGAAAAATCGGAAAACTAAAAAGTCTTTAAAATTGAATAAATCAAAAGGTTGAAAAATTTTTTAATTGAAAGTCTCAACTTAAAAACTCGAAAAACTGAAATTTCAAAAAATGGTACGAAAATTTGAAGAAATGGGAATTTGAAAAATAGGGAAACTGAAAAATCTAATAGTTGAGAAAAACAGAAAATATGGAAAAATAGAGAAATTATGAATCTAAAAATTAGAAGAACGAAAAAACGCAAATCGAGAAAAAGTACGAAAATTCGAAAAAACAAAAGTTGGAAAATCGGAAAATCAACGTCGAAAAATTGGACAATTAAAAAAACAAAAACAAAAAATTATTAAAAAATGGAATATATACTAAAATCTAAGAATTGAAAAATATGAAGTGAAAAAACCAAAAATTATTGAAAAATGGAAAATTCAAAGGTTTAAAAATTGTAAATTGCACATAGAAAATGAAAAATCGTGCAACTGAAAAATGAAAACTCTGAAAACTGCGAATTGAAAAATTATACCAAAATTTGAAAAAACGAGAAATTAAACAATGAAGGACTAAAATGTCGAAAAATTCAAAAAAATGGAAAATTCGACGAAAAACTAAAAAAACAAAAGTTGAAAAAAGGACAAGATTATGGAAAAATGGTGCAATTGAAAAATTTAAAAAAATGGGGAATATGAAGAATCTAAAAAATAGAACTAAAAATCGGAAAATTTCAAATTGAAAAATTGAAGAAACGAAAATTTGAAAAACTCAAAAGGCTGAAAATTTTTAAAATTGGAAGTTGAATGTTCCAAAGCGAGAAACTCAAAACTGGAAAATCGGAAAACTAACGTCGAAACATTCGAAAATCCATATATTGAAGAAACAAATTATTGAAAATGAACAAATGTGTAGTAAAATCAGAAACTTGATGAAACGAAAATTAAAAAATCGAAAAATTTAACAAATCGGTAAATTGCACATAAAAAATGAAAAATCGTGCAACTTCTGTAAAATTGAAAACTGCGAAAGAAAAATTGAAAAGTTCGTGAGCGAAAAATGTGACTTTTAAAACGAAAACTCAAAAAAAATTACAAAATATAAAAATCAAGGAACTGAAAAATTGAAAAATTGCACCAAAATTTGAAAAAATGAAAAATTAAAAAATGGGGAAACTAAAATTATGGAAAAATGGGCAAATTGCAAAATTAGAAAAAAAATGGGAAATGTGAAAAACTAAAAATTGCAAGTCGAAAAATTCAGAAGATGATAAATGTTTCAATTGAAAGTCAAAACTTGAAAATGGAGAAACAGAAAATTCAAAAATTTGAAGAAACGAAAAATGAAAAATCGGGAATTGAAAGTCGAAATATTGAAGAAACAAATAATTGAAAAATAGACAATAGAAAAATCGAAAAATAAAAAACTAGATATTGAAAATATTAAAAATCTCAAATCAAAAAATTAAAAATTCCAAATCTGAAAAATGTTTAAATTTTAAAGAAACTCGAAAAACTGGAAAATCGGGAAACTGAAAAGTCGAAAAATTCGAAAATTTGAAACTGATAATTCAAAGGTAAAAAATTGAAAAATGGAGTTTAACTTTTTCCTCGAGAGTCTTTTATAGACAAGCAGTAGGTCCGCCCACCCACCCCTTCTTCAATCTGATGACTACTCTTAATATGGAAAAATAGTCGAAAGATTGAAGAAACAAAATTCAAAAAATATTAAAAGGAGAAATTGTACAATAGAAAAATTGAAAACTATTTCTGTCAATCTAAAACACAGCGGAAATTTCGGCCAACACTCCAGAAAAATTAGTCATCTACTTAAGCCATGATAACAACAACACTGCGATAACTACTTTGCGTTTGCGCAGGTACGACTCCAAATGGCCGGAATATCGCCCGAGTACCACGCGCACACCCACGCTCACACCCATGCGCACACCCACCTCCACCTGCACCCCCAGCAACAGCAGGCGCAGCAGGAGGCGGCCGCGGCGGCGGCGGGTTTCCCCCTTCCTGGTACGTATCCTTCTGTGACGTCTTCAAAGCTGAAGCGTGACACTCGATTTGATAAAATTACAATAGCTTCAGGGGCTCCAGGTTATCCCCGTCCCGGACTGATCCCCGGACGCGACGCCCCCTTGGGTCTCCACCACCCGGACTTGCTGGGCAGGCCGTTCGCCGACCAGCTGGCCCACCAGGTATTAGATTTAAGATGAAGGTAGGGTGTAGTGTGAATATATGGGTTGCAGGCCGCTGCCCACGAACAGTTACAAAGACAAATGTTACTAGAAAGGGACAGGTTTCCGCCGCACCCCTCGATAGTCGCCCAGCACGAGGAGTATTTGAGGTTAGTTTAAGCGATTGCGCATCCAAGTGGGCGCTGAACTGTAATAGCGCATGTCATCATCACTAAGAAGCGGCAAATTTAAATTGCACGGGTTGTTAATCGTTTCGATTTCAGGCAACAGAGGGAGCGCGAGCTGAAGGTGAGAGCATTAGAGGAGGCGGCGAGGGGTTCGAGGCAATAAGTCGTAAGTTGTGTCGTGGATTGTGTGCACGGTTTCAATGTGGGTTTCAGTGCCGACAAGTCTAATCAAATTATATCATGTACAATGTTCTCGACTTAAAGAATTTTAAAAGGAGATACTATAGGATACGCTAAGTTTTAAGAGGATTATATATACATATACGATTTTAATTTTTTAATATGTTTTGCAATGATAGAGAATAATTTTGTATACAAAGTATTGATGTTAGTGGTTTTTTAGCTAGTTGGACGAATTTTATATGCAGAGTTTGAGTCTTCTGTGTATATTAATTTTGACCAAGTGTAAATAGGTAAAATTGTCTAAGTTTTAAATTGATGCAAGCGGTTTTAACTTTGTGGCAGTCTTCCTGTATTCGGGTATACAATACGACAATGATTAGCATTCTTGTGTTTGTAAAAAGTGTACATTGTTTTTAATTTAGTGTTATTTTTTGTTTGTTGACTAAATTGATCGAGACTAGGCTAACTATCTTATTTCGATTGCTTTACTTACGATCTGGAAAGATTTGATCTGTGGTATTGTTTGTTTACACCATTCTTTTATTTATATATTTATGTCTTTATTTAAATTTTTTTGTTCCCTTAAAACAATAAATTTTTTACCAAAGATTTTTATTTTTGTTTTTATTGTTTAGTTTGGCGGTTCTGATATAATAAACAAGTTTAAAACGATAAATAAGAAAATAGAATATTTTTCAGGAAAAGCTTTTTATATTAGAGAGTGTATTATATCAAAAGAATGTTTCAAATGTGTATACTGTCTATATTAGTACATATATTGGAAATAAATCATATTCATTTGTACCGCTTCTTTTATTTAACCTACAATCCATCAATATTAATTAATTTAATTAACGTAATTAATGACCATGTGTTAATTAAACCAATGAAAAGAGCGTGTTGTCAGTTAAGCTCTGCCCTCGGATCTCAAAACGAATAAAAATTCATCACAGTTGAAATGGGGCGGATGGGTGGGGCTTATCTTTGATTTTCTTAGTACACATAATAATCTTTCACCAGTAAAATACTTGAAATTCCAAATGGTAAATTTGAGGTTAGAATTATGTTTTCAATATCGTGTTGTCCACGGCCATTCAAAAATAGGGATATGTACGTTAAGAAAAAGTAGGCAATAATTAAGCCCCACCCACCCGCCCCTTTTTCAATCGTGATGAAATTTTTATTCGTTGTCAGATAGAGGGGCGGAGTTTAATTGCAAAATCCATATTTTTCTACAAAAATATATTATTCTAAACATGATTTAAGTTTCCTCTTCTTCAATTGAGGTAGTACTTTTTTGTATAAAATTAATCACTGAAATAGAGGCGGATGGGTGGGCGGGGTTTATTATATGTTCTTATGCAGAGTGGAAGTGGTAAGTAACTGATAGAAACTAAGCTCTGCAAAAATTGCCAATCGTAACTTTTTTGTCGTACTATTTGTCACAAGATTTATTTATTTCAGAAGAAAAACAATGAGAGAACGGGTGGGTGGGCGGGGCTAAGTTTAACTTTTTCCTAGAGATTTTTTTATAGGCAAGCAGAAGGCTCGCCCACCCACCCCTTCTTCATTCTGGTGACTACTGGTAATACTGTTAATTATTGTCTTATTAGAATCTTCGGCAAATCTATTAAACCGTTGGTAAGAAAACAGATAAATTGTTATTTTCCTTCTATAAATTATTCAATCTACACCTTATATTGCAAGGGTAGTATAGTGATAGTGACGTTTTATTCGCCATATTACATATACAACATAGGGTACAGTCAGGTCAGGTCAGGAAGAAAACAAGGCAATAATTAAACCCCGCCCACCCGCTCCTATCTCGGTTGTGATGAATTTTTTATTCGTTGTCAGACAGAGGGGTGGAGTTTAATTTATGATTATGCTTCAGACATTTGGACTTTGCAGTTAAGCTCGGCCCCCCGATCTCATAACGAATATCGGGACGGGTGGGTGGGGCTTAATTTTTTACTTTTTTTTTTTTTTAAATGTGTAGTTTTCGTTCAGCACGATACTTAAAACACGTTCCATACGGTATATTCTTGTAGAGAAATATGAACTTTGCATTTAAGCTCCGCCCTCCCGCCTCACGACGAATAAAAAGATTAATCACAATCGAGATGGGGTGGGTGGGTGGGGCTTATCCTTTGATTTTCTTAGGATAAATGCATAAAAATCTCTGGAAACTCTGGAATATCAAGACTCCTTAGAATTTTCAGAACATAGAGCCCTCAGGGTCCTGAAAGTCCTCTAAGTTGTTAGCATCTTTAATGTTTATAACCTTTAGAACTTTTGGAAATTTTTGGACATTTTAAAATTTCTAGAGCGAAACTCTGGAGTTTTTTAAATTTCTGAAATTCCCGTTGGTCCTAGGTTTCGACATCTGACTGTGGAATCTCTCTAGAACCTGTAGAATCTTTGGAATATTTGAAACTTTTAGAACTTTTAGAAATTTTTTAATTTTTTATTACTTTAGAATTTTTAGAGTACTCAGAATCCTCAAAATTCTCGAGGTCCTTAGTATTTTTCTTGTTTGGAAATTTGGACATTTTAGGATCGCCAGGAGTTCTACAATCTTTAAAATTTCCAGAATCTTCAGATGTCTAGAATTTCTAGGATCTTTAATATCTTCAGGATCTTTCAGTTTCTTTGTAATCTTTCTTATATTTAGAATCTTTTCTACTTTAGAAGGTCTGTAAGGTGTTTAGAATATCTGCAATTTTTAGAACTCTTCGAATCCCATAGAATTTCTAGAATTTTTGGAACTCTTGGATTCACAGTTTCTCTAGGTTATACAGCATCTCTAGAATTTGTAGTGACTGTATCATCTTTGCAATTTTAATAACCACTGAAATCTATGGAATTTTGCTAGAATCCTTAGAACCTTTAGGATCTTTAGATTATTTAGAGCATTCAGAATCTTAGCCTCTTTGGAGTTCTAGGAGTCTTTAGAATCATCAGAATCCTCAAAGTGCTCAAAGTCCTCAGGTCTTTAAAGTCTTTAATCCTCGGAGCTTTTAGAATCTTTGTAAATTTGAAGTTTTAGAATGTTTACAATTTCTATAATCTCCAGCATCCGTTTAGGATTTTTACAATATTTGGAACGTTTGAGTCCTTAGAATCCTTAGAGTCTTTAGAATCTTTAGAGTCTTTTGAATCTCTAGAACCTCTGAAATCTCTACAATCTTTGGAAAATCTAGGATCTTTAGAGCCTTTAACCTCTTTAGTCTTTGGAGCCTTTAGAATATATAGAATCTTTGGAATGTATGCATACTCTCAAATTTCTGAAATCTCAAGTATGTGTGGAATCTCTGGGAAATCTGGAGTCTTTAGAGTTTTCAAAGTCCTTAGGCTCTTTGGTCTTTAGAATTTTTGAAAATTTTGGACATTTAGATTCTGTACAATGTTCTAGAGTATTTAGGTTTTTTACAATTTTTGAAACGTTTGAGCCCTTAGAATCTTTGAAATATTTATATCTCTGGAGTCTACGGAATCTTCGAAATCTTTGGAATCTTTGGAAAATCTAGAGTCTTTAAAAAGTTCTTAGAGTTGTCAGAGACATCAGAGTAGTTAAAATTCTTAGGATTTTTAGTCTTTAAATACTTTACAATATTTCAAACACTTGAAATCTTTGAAATTTCTACAATCTTTGCAACGTTTGAGTCCTTAAAATCTATAGAGTATTTAGTGTCTTTAGAGTCTTTAGAATCTCTAGAACCTCTGAAATCTCTGCAATCTTTGGAAAATCCAAGATCTTTAGAGTCTTTAACCTCTCTAGTCTTTAGAGCCTTTAGAATATCTAGAATCTTTGGAAAGTATGCATACTCTCAAATTTCTGAAATATCAGGGATGTGTGGAACCTCTGGAATTTCTGTGAAATCTGGAGTCTTTCGAGTTTTCAAAGTCCTTAGGCTCTTTGGTCTTTAGGGCCTTTGGAATTTTTGAAAATTTTGGACATTTTAGATTCTCTGCAATGTTCTAGAGTATTTAGAATTTTTACAATTTTTGAAACGTTTGAGTCCTTAGAATCTTTGAAATGTTTATATCTCTGGAGTCTATGGAATCTCCAAAATCTCTGGAATCTCTGGAAAATCTAGAGTCTTTAAAGTTCTTAGAGTTGTCAGAGACATCGGAGCAGTTAAAGTTCTTAGGATTTTTAGTCTTTAAACAGTTTACAATATTTGAAACACTTGAAATCTTTGAAATTTCTACAATCTTTGGAACGTTTGAGTCCTTAGAATCTTTAGAGTATTTAGTGTCTTTAGAGTCTTTAGAATCTCTAGAACCTCTGAAATCTCTACAATCTTTGGAAAATCTAGGATCTTTAGAGTCTTTAACCTCTTTAGTCTTTGGAGCCTTTAGAATATCTAGAATCTTTGGAATGTATGCATACTCTAAAATCTCTGAAATCTCAGGTATGTGTGGAACCTCTGGAATCTCTGTAAAATCTGGAGTCTTTAGAGTTTTCAAAGTCCTTAGGCTCTTTGGTCTTTAGGGACTTTGGAATTTTTGAAAATTTTTGACATTTTAGATTCTCTACAATGTTCTAGAGTATTTAGATTTTTTACAATTTTTGAAACGTTTGAGCCCTTAGGATCTTTGAAAGTTTATATCTCTGGAGTCTATGGAATCTCTGGAAAATCTAGAGTCCTTAAAGTTCTTAAAGTTGTCAGAGACATCAGAGCTGTTAAAGTTCTTAGGGTCTTTAGTCTTTCAACACTTTACAATATTTGAAACACTTGAAATCTTTGAAATTTTTACAATCTTTGGAACGTTTGAGTCCTTAGCGTTGTTAGAGTCTTTAGAATCTCTATGATCTCCGAAATCTCAAAAAAATCAAGAGTCCTCAGGGTTTTCAGAAACCTTAGGCCTTAGGATATGTAGTTTTCGAGCTTTTAGAATTTTTGGAAATTTTGGGCATTTTAGAATTTCTAGAATGAAACTGGAGTTTTTTAAATTCCTGAAATTCCTATTGGTCTTAATTTTTGACATCTGACTGGAATCTCTCCAGAACCTGTAGAATCTTTGGAATATTTGAAACTTTTAGAACATTTAGAAATTTTTGAATTTTTTATTACTTTAGAATCTTTAGAGTACTCAGAATCCTCAAAATTCTCGATGTCCTCAATATTTTTCTTGTTTGGAAATTTTGGACATTTTAGGATCACCGGAGTTCTAGAATCTTTAAAATTTCCAGGATCTTCAGATGTCTAGAATTTCTAGAATCTTTAATATCTTCAGGATCTTTAAGTTTCTTTGGAATCTTTCTTATGTTTAGAATCTTTTCTAATTTAGAGGGTCTGTAAGGTGTTTAAAATATCTGCAATTTTAGAACTCTTCGAATCCCATAGAATTTCTAGAATTTTTGGAACTTTTGAATTCACAGTTTCTCTAGGTTATCCAGCAGAATTTGTAGTGATTTTATCATCTTTGCAATTTTAATAGCCACTGAAATCTATGGAATTCTACTAGAATCCTTAAAACCTTTAGAATCTTTAGAATATTTAAAGTCTTCAGAATCTTAGCCTCTTTGGAGTTTTAGGAGTCTCTAGAATCATTAGAATCCTCAAAGTGCTCAAGGTCCTCAGGTCTTTAAATCTTCAAAACTTTTAGAATTTTTGTGAATTTAAAGTTCTAGAATGTTTACAATTTCTATAATCTCCAGCATCCGTCTAGAATTTTTACAATATTTGGAACGTTTGAGTCCTTAGAATACTTAGAGTCTTTAGAATCTCTAGAACCTCTAAAATCTCTGCAATCTTTGGAAAATCTAGGATCTTTAGAGTCCTTAAGCTCTTTAGTCTTTAGAGCTTTTAGAATATCTAGAATCTCTAGAATGTATGGAAACTCTCAAATTTCTGAAATCTCAGGTATGTGTGGAACTTCTGGAATCTGTGTAAAATCTGGAGTCTTGAGAGTTTTCAAAGCCTTAGGTTCTTTAGTCTTTAGGACCTTTGGAATTTTTGAAAATTTTGAACATTTTAGATTTTCTACAATGTTCTAGAATATGTATTTAGATTTTTTACAATTTTTGAAACGTTTGAGCCCTTAGAATCTGAAATATTTATATCTCTGCAGTCTATGGAATCTCCGAAATCTCTGGAATCTCTGGAAAATCTAGAATCTTTAAAGTTCTTAGAGTTGTCAGAGACAGCGGAGTAGTTAAAGTTCTTAGGATTTTTAGCCTTTAAAGACTTTATTCGCCATTTTACATATAGGTAGATACAACGTAGGTTAATGGCAGCTAAGTACACATTAACGAAAAGAAGGCAATAATTTCTGAAATCTCAGGTATGTGTGGAACCTCTGGAATCTCTGTAAAATCTGGAGTCTTTAGAATTTTTGAAAATTTTAGATTCTCTGCAATGTTCTAGAGTAAGTATTTAGATTTTTTACACTTTTTGAAACGTTTGAGCCCTTAGAATCTTTGAAATATTTATATCTCTGGAGTCTATGGAATCTCCAAATCTCCAGAATCTCTGGAAAATTTAGAGTCTTTAAAGTTCTTGGAGTTGTCAGAGACATCGGAGTGGTTAATGTTTTTAGGATTTTTAGTCTTTAAAGACTTTAGAATCTTTAGAGTACTCAGAATCTTCAAAATTCTCGAGGTTCTTAGTATTTTTCTTGTTTGGAAATTTTGGACATTTTAGGATCACCAGGAGTTCTAGAATCTTTAAAATTTCCAGAATCTTCAGAAGTCTAGAATTTCTAGGATCTTTAATATCTTCAGGGTCTGTAAGTTTCTTTGGAATCTTTCTTATATTTAGAAGCTTTTCTATTTTAGAGGGTTTATAAGGTGTTTAGAATATCTGCAGTTTTTAGAACTCTTCGAATCCCATAGAATTTCTAGAATTTTTGGAACTTTTGAATTCACAGGTTCTCTAGGTTATACAGCATCTCTAGAAGTTGCAGTGATTTTATCATCTTTGCAATTTTAATAACCACTAAAATCTATGGATTTCTACTAGAATCCTTAGAATTTTTAGACTATTTAGAGTCTTCAGAATCTTAGCCTCTTTGGAGTTTTAGGAGTCTTTATAATCATCAGAATCCTCAAAGTGCTCAAAGTCCTCATGTCTTTAAAGTCTTTAATCTTCAGGACTTTTAGAATTTTTGTTAACTTATGGAAACTCTTAAATTTCTGAAATCTCAGGTATGTGTGGAACCTCTGGGATCTCTGTGAAATCTGGAGTCTTTAGAGTTTTCAAAGTCCTTAAACTTTAGTCCTTAGGGCCTTTAGAATTTTTGGAGATTTTCGACATTTAAAATCTCTACAATGTTTAGAACGTTTGAGCCGTTGGAGTCCTTGGTCTTTAGAAACTCTAGAAATTTCGAAATTTCTGAAATTTCTGCAAAATTAAGACTCCTTAGAATGCTTAGGGTCAACAGAATCTTCAGAGACTTAGAGTTCTTAGGATCTCTAGTCTTTACAGCCTTTAGAATTGTTGGAAATTTTTTACATTTTAGAATTTCCACAATGTTCTAGAATGTTCAGAATTTCTAGATGAGTGTCCTTAGAGTCCTTAGAATCTTGAGAATTTGTAGAATCCTTAAAACCTTTAGAATCTCTGAAATTTATGGAATATCTTTTAAATCCCTGAAAACCCTTGGAATTCTCGGAAAATCTACACTCTTTAGAGTTCTCAGAGCACGCAGAATCCTCCGAACCTTTAGAATCTTTAGCATTCAAAGCTTGTAGAATCTTTGGAAATTCTGGACATGTTAGAATCATTAAATTTACAATGTTATAGAATGTTTAAAATTTCTAGAATCTTCAGAATCCTTAAGCTCTGTATTATTCCGACGATCTCTAGTAACTTCAGATTCTTTTGAATATTTCTTATATCTTTAGAATCTTGTAGAGTCTTTTTGTCGATTACGAATTTTTATACCTTTACAATTTGGAATCTCTCTCATCTTTATCATTTATATAGTCATTGGAAATTTTGAAATCTGTGTAATCGTTAGAAACCAAAGAATTTGTAGCACCAGAGGATCTCTAGTAATTTTAGTACTTTTTGAGTCTTTAAAAAAAAAATTTGAAATTTCTGAAATCCAAATGAAAACCAATGAAAAGAGCGCGTTGTCACGTGATTCCCTAATCATTCAAGCTGCCAAATGTCAACTCCATTTTTAGGTTAGAAAAGCGTAAACAATGATAAAAACGAACCATACACCGTAAACACGATGAATATTGGCCAAAAATTGAAAAACAAGCGTCAAAAAGCGGACGACAATGGCTGGGAAGACTGGGTAAACCGTCTTGTTTAAACGTCGCAACATAACCTCACTTTCTCATGCATTTTGCAGGGTGGCTATTTCAACGCGAAAAAATCCAAACTGCAGGACCAATACAAGGAAACCGCGGCCACCGAAGTCACAAAAGTCTCCGACATTTTCGCCGGAGTGTCAATTTTGGTTAACGGTCTGACAAACCCCAACTCTGAAGAACTTAAATGTTTGATGGCGGCACATGGGGGCGTCTATCAGGTGTACCAAAACTCGGCGACTACTCACATAATTGCGTCGAATTTACCCAACGTTAAGGTACCCCGATTGCGTTTTGACAACCTTAATGCAGCCCCTTTTGTAGATTAATAAGTTGGGGTCAGTCCCCATTGTCAAACCGTCGTGGATTGTGGACAGTATCGCACTTAATAAACTCCTGGACTACAGGCGCTATTTATTGTATACTAATCAGAGCACCAGTCAACCTAAGCTTGATTTCCCTATTGTCGACAAACCTAAATCTGATAGCCCCCCGCAGAAAACCAAAACCGCCTCTGACCCCAATTTTTTGGAGGAGTTCTATAGCAATTCCCGGTTGCACCTTATAGCGACCTTGGGGGCCGAGTTCAAGCAGCTCATTTCGGATCTGCGCGACCAGCCCCAGCGCGACTTTCCTAGTCGGGAGAAGCTCCTATCGATTCAGTGTAGTCCGGGCAGTGCCCCCCACAGCACCGTGATTATGCACATCGACATGGACTGCTTTTTCGTGTCCGTGGGGCTGCGCAACCGCCCGGAGCTGCGGGGGCTTCCGGTGGCCGTAACCCACGCCAGGAACCCCCAAATCAACCCCAGTAAGGAGCGCCAGGCGGCGGTTACGTTCAACATGGACCGGCTGCCGCAGGGGGCGGAGGCCCGGCTCGTGGACGGCAGGTCGTCGATGTCGGAGGTGGCTAGTTGCAGCTACGAGGCGCGGCGGTGTGGGGTCAAAAACGGGATGTTCCTGGGGGCCGCCGCCAAACTGTGTCCCAACATCAAGACCATTCCCTACGACTTCGAGGTAAGTGCGGTTTACCCACGATGCTTGAAACTTGGTATTGTATATAGGGGTACAAAGAAGTGTCGACGACCCTCTACAACACCCTCGCGTCGTACACTTTGGACATCGAGCCCGTCAGTTGCGACGAAATGTACGTCGACGTGACCGAGGTCCTCCGGGTCTTCGATTTGTCGGTGGCGGCGTGGGCTGAGCACATCCGCGCCGAGATTATGGCGAGCACCGGGTGCCCGTGCTCGACGGGTTTCGGCGGCAACCGCCTCCAGGCGCGCTTGGCCACGAAGAAGGCCAAACCCGCCGGGTCGTACTACCTCAAACCTGAAGATGTCGAGAGTTACATGGCCGAAATCGCGCTGGCGGATTTGCCGGGGGTGGGGCGAGCCACTTTGCACAAACTCCAGGGTCTGGGTTTAGCGACGTGCGGGGACGTGCAAGTGGCGGCTTTACACGTCCTGCAAAAAGAGTTGGGTGTCAAAGCCGGCGAAACTATAGCTGAACAAGCCAGAGGGATTGATAAAAAACCCCTGAATTTTCACCACGAGAGAAAGTCGGTTTCGGCGGAAATTAACTACGGGATTAGGTTTAAAAGTCTGGAGGAGTGTCACAGGTTTTTGGAGAGTCTTGGCGGCGAGGTGTGGGGGCGGCTGAGCGAGGTGAAGATGCGCGCGAGGTGCGTCACGCTCAAGCTCATGGTGAGGGCGGCAGATGCTCCAGTGGTGAGTATTATCATTGTTTAAGTATATTATAGTTGGACAACCTAATACAAATTTTACTTCGCCTAAATAGTGAGCTTTAGGACAAAGAATCCAGGGGGCGTGGGACAAATTTTTCGTCAACGCGCATTTTCACTACAGTGAGCCAACGTATTAGGTTTATTATACTCTAAATCAGATGGCGCCATCAAACATTAGCAAAGGCAAACACCCTTCACTCTGCTCTTATACATTGATTAAATACATATAGATAGACCCATGCTATTGTTTGGAGCGAACAGGCCAACGGCCGGCGAACAAGAGATGGCGCACCAACAGTCGGCCGTCAAACGCCGGCGAAAAGCTTGGACACCAATCGCGCGCGTAGATAACCCAAATCGCAGCAACAATACATTTAATAAAGCTACCACTCGACAGAGGGCGACGAAAACAATGTGTAAAAATCTCATAGTAACCATTTATATAATTTGCAACGTTGCCAGATGAGCCTAGCACAACTTTGCCGTTATTTCTAGTCGATTAGATTTTATTTCGTTTAAAAGTTTCTGGTGAATAAATGGAATTATTATAATGAATAAACAATACAAACAAATTATTACTTGTTATTTTAAATATTTGTTAGTGTTGATGAAAACATAAATGGTAATTAAAGTTATTCTAAATACGGTCCGGTCCGGTAGCTCAAATTTTACACTACGAGTAATATGTTTCAGGACGAGTAGGTAGCCGAGTCTTTAATTTCGAAACGAGTACTGCGAAAAGAGTTACCGGACGTATGTTGTTATGTATTTTATTTCATACTGTCAACATACTTTTTTATTCGATAATATTATTATTATTTTGAGAAAAAATCCAAATCGAGTCACTTTTTCTGACATCGTTAGCAACCGCTCTTTGGTAAATGTTTTAATTTGTTTATTCGTGCAAATCAGCATCATATGTTTAAACACATAGTACTTATAACACTTTACAGGACTTATTGTTTTGTATAATCCGACTCGATGGACGAATGTTTTGTGCAATCCGTCTCGAAGGACCAATGTTTGTGCAACTCGGCTCGTCCTACCAGTATTTTTTGTAATCTAGTTGATACGACAATGTGATACCGAATTGTACTTTGATATTGCTCCAAGGACCTTTGTTTTCTTGCGTGCGAGATAATAGACAGCGTTCGGTTTCGATGTTTAATACAGGACGGTTACAGAAGTACTAAATTTACATTTGTATTTACAATAACAGGTAAAGCAAAAGAGACCCAAAAGGGTCAGTGGCCGCTTCCGGAAATGGAAGACTTGTCCTTTTTGGCCACGGAGGTAGAAGAGTGTCTCTTCTACCTCCGTGTTTTTGGCTCAATTTTATCGGACTTGTCCGTTTTTTTGATTTTACCGGAATAGTTCGATCCAGTAAAACGTCAAACTTAACATAGTATGAAGTAAAATAAATAAATTTTATGATGTAAATACAATTTATTCTATTTTAGAACCATAATCTTATTTATAAGCACCCAAATGCGGGCATAAATTGGCCTTTTTAGCACAAATCTGTCAAAAATTGCTAAGCAACAATTGATTGTTCATTTACACTAATCAATTAATTATTCAAACACGCTTCGATATTCAACGTTTTTCTTAAGTTGGAAAAATAATATTTTATCAAATCATTACCTGACCAACTTCAAATTCTTCTAAACTTTCGTTTGAATAAACGTTTTCCGCTTCTTTAATTTACATTTTGAAAAACGAATGATCAAATAATCAACGTGGTATCCATAACAACATCAAAATAATAGCCAGCTATGTATTAAAATTCGCATCGGCACAATTCACACAGTCTTGCCAAAAATACTCAATATTTCGTTAAAAATAGTTTAGAAATTAAAACAGAATAAAACGCTGTATGTACCACGTGCATAATTGTCGATTGTAGCACTCGGGAAATTAAAAGCCCTCCTTCGTCGGGCTTTAAACATTCCCTCGTGCCACAATCTCCCTGATTATGCCCTTAATACATAAATAACTATAAGTGTATCGATAATAATTCGCTACTGAAAATTTATTGAAATATAATTTGTGTTAAAAAAAGATTTTTGTGGTTTTATGGTTTATTAAATGTAATTAAAATAAATAATATCAAGAACTTGTATTATATATCAAAAACATTCATTGTAAATAAGAAAATTATGTAAATAAACCATAAAACCATACAAAATTTTCCTGCGACCTCTATTCAAAATCCCAGTTTACCAATAGGAATTAAGGCACAAAGATGTTTCACTGAATTTATTACCGATTTTTCAAGAAAAGTATGCTTATAAGCCTATAAGCGTCTAATGGGTTAAAACAACAAATAATAATCACAATTTATTTGTTTTATATGTTCATTACAATAATCCCATTTATTTACCAGAAACTTCTAAATGAAATAATATCTGGTTGACGAGAAATATCCGCAAATTTGTGTTAGGCTCATCTGGCAACGTTTTCGGTAGGTAGGTATCAATGGAATAATGCGATTAGGTATACTGACCGTTTTAAGGAGTGCTCGTCCAATAGTGGGTAAACTAAAAGATTTGGTAATTTTCTTGGAAGAGTTTGTTTCTTCAATGAAAATTTATGGTTTTTAATTCTTCGGCCGCTTGAAAGTCTCGCCATGTGAAAATAGATTATTTGATAACCTGTTTCGTAATAATTGTAAATACGAACAAAAGCATATTTGCATATTCTAAACAACTGGCCATATCGATTCCAAACTTGTACAGATATGTTTTTTATTGTTTCTGTTTTCAATGAAACAAATTTTATTTGCAAAATACTTAATGTCTAACGACATATCACGCATATATACTACCCCATTTACTATATTTTCAATCTGTGCATTTTTCGCTTCATTCGTAGGAGCCAAGTAAGAAGTATCAGTGAGACCGGCGGACTTTCAATAGCTCGTAAATGAAAAGATTTAGTAAAGTTTCCTAGAACAGTCTGTCTCTTCATAAAAAAATTTAGACATTTTTACTATGAAATATAGGTACAATACGGTATATTCCACTGTTTGTTTTCTTTGAGATACGACTAGTTCTTGTGCCGAAGTGAAACACCAAAAAGTCTAAAGTCCGGAAATCAGAGTGAATTTTAAAACACATAAGACGACTTCTTTATTTATTTAAATATTGTCCTGTAACGTCCTGTGACGTGGAATGGAGTTTCTTAATGTACAAAAGTATGTTAGATAATAACCGAAAAATTTTCTTGATTAAAACTAAAGGAAACACAATTATTACTTGGAATAAAAATAAAGAATATCAAGAACTTGTGCTATGTATTAAAAATATTTAATTTCAAATAAGTAAATTATGTTAATAAACCATAAAACCACAAAAATCTTTTTTTAACACAAATTATATTTCAATAAATTTTCAGTAGCGAATTATCGATATACTCAATTGTATTTACATCATAATAGTTATTTATTATACAAGCGGTTAAAGTGAATGTTTAATGAGCGGCCAGTTTAAGGCGAGAGCGGCGTATGCCGCGAGCGCCTTAAGACCACGAGTTACACATTCATTTTAACCGCGAGTGTAATACAAACTTTTATTCAATTTTGACAACCCCAAGTCCCAAATTGTGAAAAAATTGGTGATTCAAAGTTCACATTCGAGAAACGTCAGAATTGACAGCGACCAAATAAAAGTTTTATATGCGTAGAATTTAGGTTACAATATCAGGTGTGTGTGTGTAGTATGTGACTCTGGCGACGGTGTTTGTTTATTTTAAGCAAACTAAAATTATCGAAAAATTGCAAAATCATGCAAGATTCCAACGGCAAAACTTGCTCCCAAAAAAGAGCAAATCAGAAAGTGTATCAAAAGTTCCTTAGATGGAAAGAGCAGCAAGGCATTGGAGAAATTACAGAAATGGTAACCATGGTTTTAAAACAGCAAAATAAAAATTTTATTTCGCTAGCGGTTTAAAAATTTTATGGTGCTACCGGATAAACCAAAGCTTTAGTGGCCTACTGACGGCAAAATAAACGTTTGTTTACATGTCAAAATTGAATAAAATTTATTTATTTTACTTTATACTATGTCAAGTTTGACGTTTCACTGGATCGAACGATTCCGGTAAAATCAAAAAAACGGACAAGTCCGATAAAATTGAGCCAAAAAGGACAAGTGTTCCATTTCCGGAAGCGGCCACTGACCCTTTTGGGTCTCTTTTGCTTTACCTGTTATTGTAAATACAAATGTAAATTTAGTATTTCTGTAACCGTCCTGTATTAAACATCGAAACCGAACGCTGTCTATTATCTCGCACGCAAGAAAACAAAGGTCCTTGGAGCAATATCAAAGTACAATTCAGGATCACATTGTCGTATCAACCAGATTACAAAAAATACTGGTAGGACGAGCCGAGTTGCACAAAACATTCGTCCATCGAGTCGGATTATACAAAACAATAAGTCCTGTAAAGTGTTATAAGTACTATGTGTTTAAACATATGATGCTGATTTGCACGAATAAACAAATTAAAACATTTACCAAAGAGCGGTTGCTAACGATGTCAGAAAAAGTGACTCGATTTGGATTTTTTCTCAAAATAATAATAATTTTATCGAATAAAAAAGTATGTTGACAGTATGAAATAAAATACATAACAACATACGTCCGGTAACTCTTTTCGCAGTACTCGTTTCGAAATTAAAGACTCGGCTACCTACTCGTCCTGAAGCATATCACTCGTACTGTAAAATTTGAGCTACCGGACCGGACCGTATTTAGAATAACTTTAATTACCATTTATGTTTTCATCAACACTAACAAGTATTTAAAATAACAAGTAATAATTTGTTTGTATTGTTTATTCATTATAATAATTCCATTTATTCACCAGAAACTTTTAAACGAAATAAAATCTAATCGACTAGAAATAACGGCAAAGTTGTGCTAGGCTCATCTGGCAACGTTGCAAATTATATAAATGGTTACTATGAGATTTTTACACATT